TGCGTTTGGTTTTTTCCTTCTTATCTGGACCGTTACTTAAAAGGAAAATGAAGGACTTCATTCTAAATTTACACCTTTATTTACATATTCAGGAACTTTCGCGTTAGTACTATTATTCTATTCTTTTATGAATATTCTTTTTTCCAATTTAACTTTCGTAGTATTTTCAATATTGCCATATCAGATTAATATCACATAATATATTAACGATGTATTTCCGTATTTCTTGCCACAGCCGCTCTTTGACCTTCATTAACCTATCTCAGTACTTTATGTTCCATTTCATGATGTAGACCCATCAATATTTATTTGCAAAAAATTATTTTCATTACGACGCAATTAAGAAAATTCACTCAATTAGACAAAGTCTTGTTTAGTTTCGCGGTTGTTTCTTTTTAAAATTCCTTTGTTAATTTATTTAATTTAGTTGTTTCATAGCAATACCATATCTCTAAAACTGTTGTTGTGTAACTTTTCAATGGGGAGGGCGGCTTAACAATATAATGGAGGGGCCTTGTACGGTTTGAGAGACACTACAGCAAGTGCGGAAAAAGATCATTAAACGACTTAATAGTAAATGGCTTTAGTAGAGTTTCTACAGAAGAATGACCCCTCAAAAACGGAAATTAGCGAATTTGATGCCGAATTTACTTTGTTTGGTTTAACAAATTGGCATTTCTGAAAGAGTTAAACATGCCTAACAATCTACTTTTGGAATGAATGTACGCGAAGTTTCAAATTAAAGTTAAGATTAAATTAGCTGGGCATTTAAAGTGATGTTTTCCCTCATAATTTTTTCTTGAAGTGCAATGGACGGTCATTCCGAGAGTGAAGTGTTGGAAATAATTAATATGAATTCAAAAAATTGTTATCGCTTCATTTCTATTTTTAAACCGGCCACCAACTGGTCAATAATTTACGATATTTAGCAAAATTGTCACGTGAAATATCACGTGACTTATTAACACAATATTTATACTTCAAATAGTTAAGAACGATGAGTTCTTTATGTGTGCCAATTCTGATTCAGCGCCATCTATGTCGAAGTTATAGCCAATAAATCATTTTCCACAGGTAAACTCCCGGTTAGTACCAGGACTTAACCTACTTGAGTTAGTCTCAGTTTCCTACTTAAGAGACAATTATGCGGCGGTTGTATTTTAACGTCGTGTCGGTGCTGGCACTGGGAAGCGTTTGCTGTCACGGAATTTCGGGCAAGCAAAGCAGGACAGCACTGCTTTACGATACTTAGGCAATCTCCAAGCATACACAAAAGGATTCATCGCGGAATTTAGGAAAAGAAACCTAGAAAATATTATCTCCAGCTTTCTGAATGTCAGAGATCGTGCACAAGATGGGCACAAATGTAGCACATGTAACCCAATAAACTCAGGTAAAAATGTCATGTAAAATAGTGCAAGTATTATCAAGATTGTCAGTACCATCCGTCTTTCTCGATCCAAAACTACTTTGCTTCTCATCTCCTTTGTGATTCCAGCGTCTATTAATTCTCGTTTTCGTTTGCCTAAAGCCCGGAACACTTTGATGTACATAACTGTTACCATTATAATAGGAAGTGAAGCGTGGGAGTGTGCGTAAACAAGCTCTAACATTTTTGGGGGGATTTTTGTTATTGTGATAAAACAAAGGACCAAAGAAACTGTCCACATTACGAGGATGAACAGCTTGACTCTTCCCATTGTTACGGTAGATTTGTATTTTAAGGGATGCATCACCACAACGTATCGATCGTATGATAAAGCGATGATTGTCCCACTGCTTACAAGCAATGTTAGAGCAAGAACCAAACGAACAACAAGATCAAGTTTATCAGGAACTGGGCGATCCTGGTAACGATACACATCCTTCAATGCTACGAGATTCCCAGCTATTGATCCCACCATTAAATCAGACACGCATAAACTAGTGATCAGCAATGATGGGGGAGTTTGTAGTAGGCGGCGAGTGTCTCTGAAAATTGTCAACAGCAATGCAGCATTTTCAACAGTAGTAACTGCAGCGAGTAGAAAACCAAGAACTGCAAGAGTCATGAAGAATGCAGGGTCTTTGACAAACACGGAATTTGGTGATGGTTCAAAATAAATACCAGGATCTGCTATCATCGAATTGTCCGTCGACAAAGTGCTATTCCTTTGTGAAGATTGTGTCCACTCCATACCTAGTTGAAATTGTATTTTATAGTTACTGATCTTTTTGTTCTTTCTCGTGATTTGTAACGGAAGAAAAAATGAGGCCAAATGAGTTTGCAAAGTGTGTTGATCAGATTATATATCTTATGTCGTCACCGACCATTTCGATAAGTACGTGTGTTCTGTCGCAATTTGTAATAATTGTAGTAATTTGTAATAGCTGTCGTAATTTGTAATGTTGTCGTAATTTGTAATACCTGTCGCAATTTGTAACAACTTTGTCGTAATTTGTGATAATAAATTAAGCTGTCGTACTTTGTAACAACCCTTCGTCATAATTTGTAATAACTTTGTCGTGATTTGTATTAAACTTGACGTATTTAAAATGCTTGCAATTTTTTCATTCAGTTTTACCTGGTATATTACTTACAATAGGCGCCGGCTGGGGCAACTCTGTAGGGAAAGCCTAAACTCCATTTGGGAGATTTTGTAGTGCTGTGTTTAATTAGAAGTACGTAGAATATTTTCAAGCCAATAATGCCCCAATTCATGGTTGAAGTTGAAGGAGAAAAGCAGCACATTTAACGTAAAACTAGAAAATAGACTTTTTTCTTACAGTCGGAACGGGTTTGAATTTAGCTTACTTTTAATTTATTTAAAAAATTTTTTACATCCTATTGAAGTTAATTATTGGACTCTGTTTAGTTGTGGTGAATGTTTATTACTTTTTTGCAAGGAATATCATTGTTGTTTCAGTATTCTGTTTCGAGAAATTTTGATCACTTTGAAAATGAGCTCCTACAAAATTGTATACAAGTAGTTTAAGTTAGTGTCTCATTTTTTAAGGTCTCAAGGAACCGAAAGCAATAAAATTTAACAATGTTTTCTTATGGTTTCACTTATGCATTCAGGTTCGGTGTCTTTAGTCTTTTGCAGTTGGGATTTGGCAATCACACCCTCTGCAACACCACACCCCCGGTTTGAATGTTTACATGAAGGAACCCGTTGTTTATCAGGAACAAGGACCGACAGAGAGCAGGGAAGCTGGTCCAAAATTGTTCCAATCCTCCATTAGGGTAGCTGAATAAGACGCGAAACAGCATAGAAAGAATTTGGGGTTTACTTCTCCCTATTATCATAATCATTATTATTCCCTTAACTATCACTAACTTTGGTGTACAAAATTATTTATCACTTGTTTTATAGCAGTCTGAATGACTGACCATTTTTGTAAACTTGCACTAAAATGTGAAACTCTTTGCGGGAGTCTGAGATCACTCGCTCAGATGACGTCGTTTTTCATGCAAAATTCTCATTCCAAGAAGTTAGCAGGCTATTCCTAAAAAAGAGCTCATGGCATTGGGTCCTTTCAGATCAACCTTGTGCCTTCCCCTTGAAGATCAAACACCACTCGAAAAACAAGCCTTTTGATTGGAAAGTTTAAACAATGCTTATTATTACAAATTACGAAAAAGTTATTACAAATTACGTCAGCTTTGCTTATTACAAATTACGACAGCTTTTTTATAACAAATTACGACAAAGTTCTTACATATTGCGACAGGTATTACAAATTACGACAGAACATACGTGATCTGGCACTTGCCAAAATTCATTTCATCTATGCATTTATAATCGATTATAATAATATTTAGAACGATTGTCAGTGCGTTGAATTTGCGGTAGAGTGCCAAAAATGTAGCTTGTAAAATTTTTCTTCCACTTCCTTGTAATCTTTAATTTAATAATTTAATTTTTTGAGGGAAGTTTATAGTGACTCTCGTTGAAATAGCCTGAAACGGGTCTTTGACCCTTGTTTTGGGCATGCTTTAAAAACGGATCAACAAAACCCTTGAAGGCTTCTTAAAACGTCACAAAATGTTAGAAGGCAGCGAAGCTTTTTTAAACTGCAATTTCTATTAATAAATTCTGTACGTGAAGGCAGTAAACTGAACAGACAATGAGATACCCGACCGTAATGATATCTTGCTGACTCACCCTTGTCGCTTCCGCTTTCTCGCACTAAAACTATGTTAAAATTTCTTGTAAAAAGGGGAACAGGAACTTCTCAGTAACACGTACAATTTACGTGAAAACTTATGTGTAGACCAAGTTGATCTCGGGTGACGTCAGTAATATCATCCTTCAAGCTTGCGAAAATAGATGAATTATTTGAAGTCTAAAAAGAAAAAAATGGTCCCCATTTCCCAAAATAGACATTTCATTTCCTGATTTAAGTCCCCATATATTTACGCTATGTATTTATTTTAGCGGATAGCTCATCATTAAGCGTAATTGCGATTAGGAAACAATTTTTATTTCTCCATTTTACCGAGTCGAGATATTTCAATGAAAAGTGGTCTGAAACGTTCAAGAATGAACAATAATAATAATAATAATAATAATAATAATAATAATAATCATAACTATAACAAAATTCTCAAATCTGATTGGCTATCAACTGCCCTGATTTCAGCCTTAATTGGACAGTTTGATAGGACAGTACGCGCCTTCACGCGCGCGCTTAAATGGCTCTTTTTTTCACTGCTAGCAAAACAAAATTTCGAATTTCTTGTGTTTTGATTTAAAAAATAGCCTATTATATAACAAATTTTGTTAAAGTTATGATTAATTGGTAACAGAACTTCGTGTCGTCCAATTCGGTCTATAATCATACTCGTGATTAAACAAATCGGACGACCGCGTATTTTGTTAATCACTCGTATGATTACAGACCGAATAGGAGTCCATTCAGTCCTGTTACCATTACTACTACTAATAATAATATATAAAAACTTCTTTATTAAAATCTTATAAAAATCTTATAAAAACTACACACAAAACTTCTGTAAAATATTCATAAAAATAAAACGTCCACATCAATATTATATAAATACAAATTTCCGGCAAAATCCCTTCAAAATTCAGAATTCTAAGATACTAATTAAAAACTAAATATATGTACACGATAGATATTTACAATTGTGAATAATTTAAGAGTGGGAAAAGGAAAATTAAGCATTACTAAGAAAAAATCTATCAAAAATCGAGGCCTAAAATAAAAAAAGTCGGCTTGCCTTTTCTTAAGTCACTCAGTAAACAACCTGGCCGAGATACTGCATTTGCAGTGAGCTGACCGACATATTTGAAGGTTCTCATTTTGCAGTGCGGTTATTAGACTCTTACTTTAATACGTTTGCCACCCAGTGTACTTATTCGAGAGTAAATAATTTCTCCTTGCTTAGAAGCTTGTTGAAGTTCACTGCAGTTTTCCTTTTTGTTGTTGTTGCAGAATAAGTTCGCCATCCACCCTAGTTCCCGCTACCGAACTGGTGATTTCCCCGGCGGGGGTAGACAGACAGAAGATGTTCAAGGTCAGGACTGAATCAAGATCCCTCTATTCTGCTCTCTGAACACGTGCTTATTAACACATCGTAGCAACATCACGTTCCTTTTATGACTTTTTATTTAAAGTTTTTCTTGATTCTAGCCCGTGAATCTTTCCATGTTCTTTCATCCGATGACTTGTTTTAAATCATGTTTCAGGCTTTACTCAACCATTTTCTTTAATAACCGTTAAACGTTTCGGACACCGTTAAAGTGCGATACATATCCTTGGTTTAATTTATGACTTTTTTCTTTTGAATCCGTTATCAAAACAAAATTGAACCACAGCATATATATTTTTTAAAACCAGGAGCAAGCTTCAGTTGACTTACGTGGATTGCAGTAGCGTCGCAAAGTAAGAAGTTTTCTTTGACCAGTGACTATCATATAATTATCAATTTTCTGCAAGCTGCCATACCAAGAAAAAAAAACCTCGCATGGAAATGTTTAATCAAATGCAAATGAATCTGTAAAGCAAGGTCCAAATGCACGCGTTCCACATGTTGCAAGGTCTCACGTTTAGACACGTTTACATACTAGCATTGACAATGGAGAGTTTAAGCTTAACGTATAAGATTCGGCAAACGTCAGATTTAAGTTAAGAATTTTTCAAAATAGAAAATAAGCAGAAAGAAAAAACAGCTCAAAACAATTCTTATGCCGTTATGGATAAAAAATTGCGTGAAACTACTAAATTATGGGTAGAAATAACGAACCGTAAACAACAAGTAATGAAAGGGGAAATTTGGGTACGTGGTACAAATTCGCGTTTGCAGTTTGACTTATGTAAACGTGATGCTTAACCTCTCCAATAATGAATTTCGACGGGTAGAATGCGATGGCTATACGCATTTGAGGGAAATGAATCCTCCGATCCCTAATTTTTATTCTGCTTACAGTTTGCGCTCTAATAATAAATCCTAAATTAATATATTAGCAAGTTTTCAAATGCGCATTACGACGAACAAAGGGAAAAAATCAAATAACCTAAAAATGAGAATAAAACCCTATACAGCTGAACGAAATCGAAGTCATAATACTTCTAAAAAGCCACCATTTACAGTGAAGGGACAGTTTAGGTCAGTTTATACTCCTCTGAATTGCATGTTGTAAGAGTATGAATTACTTCGTAGAAAAGTAATGTCGAATCTATTTTAACCCGTACCATTTTACGATAAATATGAAGAATGCTCTGTCCCGTTTAAACCCAAATAGGAGTGAAATAATTGTGTTACAAATAAATATTCATGAATTTTCCTCAGATCATTTTCTATGAATCGGTACAAGAGGACTGCTCATGCACATGTCATCGGTTTGCCCCGGGGGTAGATCCCCCGGACAACCAGGGGAATATGTCGGGGAATACAGGGGGATAGATTGGATTCTTTGCTCCTGGGGAGGGAAAATTCACGACATTGTTTTAAGGATGAAGGGAACCCGACGCGGACGGTAACCACAGGGATATATATCATGGGGATGAGCCGCAAAAGAGTTTTATAAAAGGAGAGGCATTACGTCTTTTAAGAGCTAACTCAGTTAGAGAAAACTTTGAACAAAGCAAACGAGACCTTGAACAAGGCTACCCTTAAACGCTCGTTCAAGAAATACTGACTGAAGTTATGTTCACCGAAAGAAACGAGGTTCTTCGCAAAACAAACGAGATTTTACCGTTCGTTACTACCTACAATATCTACAATCACGCCACACCGAATCTCAAAAAGATTCTCACAAAACACTGCAAGAGACATCATTCAACAGCAAGCTAAGCTTAAAAATATCTTTCAAAAGCCACCGATTGTCTCCAACAGGAAAGAAAAATCTCTCAAGGGCATCCTAGTCCGCGCGAAAATTCCTTCAATCTCGCAGCGATCACAAAATCAACAAAGCAGTTAAAAGGTAGAACTTGGCAATCTACATACAATCACCTTAAGTGACTCCTAAAAACAGCAATCAGCATCCATTCGTTTATTGCAAAACAACCGGGTCAATATATTTTCAGATCTCTTAAACCTTAGCCTCAAGAGGTAGATTAATCCAGGTCATTTTAGTAGGCTATGGAAAAACTATCAGTCTCTCCTAACCTCGGTAAATCTGTCGTCAGGTGTTCTTTCATTGCAGTGATGTCTGTTCAATAAAGATGTTATATTGCTTCTCCGAGGCTAACACAAATGCGTAAAATTTCAAAAACGCCCCCTCCTTCAAGTGAATCCCAGTTATACGAGGTGGATATCAGGGGAATTTTTCGTTGAGAAGCACTTGACCCAGAGGACTCTGTCTTATTAAATTCCCCCACCCCTGGGAGAAATCCTCAACTTTGCTCCACCCATTTTACAATCCCCCTGGTTGGCCCGGGGGTCTACCCAGGGACAAGCCGATGACACGTGCATTAAAGGGGCTGTGTCAATTTGGCCAATTACTCGCCCCCAATCGCTATGGAACTTAAAGTGAGCAAAGAAATTTCATGGAAATGAAAAAATCAGAGATTCGAGACAAACAAAATATGACTCCTGAGCATTATTTTTGAAGTTGCAAACGGCACAGATCAACTTTGAAAAACTGTTAGGCTGAACAATTTTCAAAAACCCTAATTTCAATCCGTTTCAGTCTTCTTCAGTTTTGCCCATCCGTGGCATCTGTTGTATCTTTTGTGTTATTTTAACTTTCCTTTAATGTTTTGTAAAAGCGGTTATTTTTTTGTTTCTCTTAATTTAACGGGCATTTTGTAATTACCTAATTTGGCTGAATTTCGTGACACAGCTCCTTTAAACAGCCACTTTTTCTCAGGCGTGGTATACCACATCAAAGGAGAAATAAGCAAAGCAAAAATAAAGCAAAATGACATCTTCAAAAAGGTCACGACTCATTGGTTAAGACGCATCATTTATTGTTAACAGATGCAACTCCCTAATATCTACCCTGGCTGGAGATTTCCGTGCGAGAACACTAAAGTACTCTGAACAAGGCAAGAACTACATGTTGAAGATTAACAGTAGCATTCAAATAAATCCTTTTCTTCGCGCCGTCCCAACTATCTGAACGCCTGGAACAAGCTACGTTTCACGGGTCGATTTTAGCGCAACTGTCTCGCAGAATTAGCCTACAACAATCCATATCAGAAAAAATATTACACTTATTACAGGTCTAAGATCGCGAATACAGTACTAAGACACACACTCCAATGGCTACACTGCGTAGTCCTAGCCTGTCGCGATGAGGCTATTATCGACCAAAGATTTTATGATCAGTAAAAACATGAAACTTCGCCAGATTACAACTAATCCTTTTTGGACATGGGGCTAACCTAAATTCACCATTGGCCACCAGTACTGCGCGCTACTTTGACCTACATGAAAACAAGACGCTAAAGCGAGCACTAATCGCCCAGTTGGTATAAGAATGAAGATCATTAATTCATTTCATTGCCACTTTAGTACAAGTAGTGTTCAGTTTGTTCCTCGCCAAGGTAGTAAGTGAATTGGGAATCCATTCATTGCTTCCTAAGCTTTCATTTGTATTGAACTTTGGTCCAGCCGTCTGCATCAGACTGTTCCGCGGGGGGTCGTTCACGGCCACGACGAGAGGCAGACCAGGATTTCCCTGAAGAGATAAATTACAGAACTTTACAACATTTACGTCACAAGGGAAACTTCACTTATTTACAGGCTAAACAAAAAACTCATCGCGATCTCTTTTCATGTGATGCAGGTGTTTCAGTTTGCAATAAATCTACTGTGTATTTTCCCTCATCTTGTGATTTAATTGTAGTCATTCCCTTGGGTACTTTTAGTCGTTTGTACCCAATTTCCCTAATGCAGCGGACAACCGACCAGTATCGTAGGAAGTATTTCCTTTCATTCACTTCCTTCAGATCTTTTTCATTTCATGAACTTAGACTCCTGAGTTAACAGCCTGAGAAAACAGCTGACATTTCCTTCATTTCGCGACGCTACCACTAGTTATGAGTAGTTTCCCCGCGAAATGACGTCGTCTGAACAATGACTGCAGAAATTCCATACTGATGACGTGTCACTACCCAGATCAGAGTAGTGCTTTCAGATTAGCTGAATCAAAGTTCTCTCGCGGTACAACCAATCAGAAGCACTATCCAGATCTGGGTAGTGACACGTCATTAGTATGGAATTTCTGCAGTCGTTTCTCAGACGCCATTTCGCGGGAAGAGCAGAGGTGGCGTCGCGAAATGTGGGTTGTTTTCTCAGGCTACAGAGCTAACGAACAAACCTTCAGTTCGAGCAGGTGGTGGTTCCCGCCTCCACTGGTCACGCCCCGGCTCTTCTCTTTCCCTTCTCCACCCATCCCTGTCTCTGTCACCACCACGGTCATCACCTCTCCAGCCTGAACGCTCACGGTCACGATCACCACGGTAACGATCACCAACTTCACGATCACGATCTCCTCTAAAGCGGTCACCATCGCCATCTCCCCGGTAACGGTCTTCACGGTCACCACCACGCCAACCATCCCCAGAGTCTCGGTCACGCCTTCCCCAACCACCTGGCCTATCACGGTCGTCACGTCCACGGTCATCACGACCACTTCCTCGCCAAGAACTTGGTGGAGGACGGTCACGCTCATCACGGTCACGGTCACGATCGCGATCACGCCATCCACTTGACGGAGGACGGTCGCGTTCATCTCTTCTCCAGGCACTTCCCTTATCATCCATTCTTCCACGGTCATCCATTCTACGATCATCCATTCTCCCACGGTCATCCATTCTTCCACGGTCATCCATTCTCCGATCGTCCATTCTTCCACGGTCATCCATTCTCCGATCGTCCATTCTTCCACGATCATCCAATCTACGATCGTCCATTCTTCTTCGATCGTCCATTCTCCCACGATCATCCATCCTACGATCGTCCATTCTTCCACGATCATCCATTCTGCGATCGTCCATCCTTCCACGATCATCCATTCTACGATCGTCCATTCTCCCACGATCCATGTCTAAAGGAGTTGGAGAAAGACAAAGTTAACATTTTACTTAACCACCCATCGGAACAACTCCAGTACCGTACATTAATTATAGACAGTCTAATTATAGCTAATCGCATTGCAACGGTTTTATAAAGCGACTATTAAAGAACACGATAGAAGCGACCCAAATCATTACCACGTCTGGCTGGTCCATCCCTGTCCACAGTCCTCCTCCAATTCACTCCTTCGTCACGAGGTCCATCTCTGTCGCGTTCATCTCGTCTCCAAGGCGATTCTAATGAAGAAAACAAATGTGCAATGAGTACTAATCCTTCAAGTCTCAACATAAGCAACTAGTTTTTAAATTTCGTAAGAAAAGAAAATTTCAAACATGTATTTTGGTAAAAATCTTAACACATTCACTCCAGGGAATTTGCCAAAAGAAAAACGTCTTTTGAAGCTACAATCTTGGGCAAAATAAAATGGAACAGCAAACCCCCATTCCCACCAAATCAAGGATGAGGCCGCGCGAAGGGCAAAAAAGCGCCATTTTCCCATCCTTGATATGGGGGGGAGGGCGGCAGGAGGGGGGGGGGTCTAGGTTTTCCGTTTATTTTGTCCAAGATTGTATCGAAGGTGTCTAGGTCAAGAAATAGTGGTCACTCCTAATTAATGAGTCATCTTTCAACGCATTTATCGCTAGAAAACACTGTTTTCTGACGCAGTCACGCGCGTCACCGGTCCATCCCGGGTCTAAGTTTAGGCATTACAAAAGAGATATTCTCGGTAACACAGAGCATATATAATACGTAGTTTAACTTTCCTAAGAATTACAAGAGGTGAGAAGAAATATTCTTCATCGTCGTAAAACACTTCAAACATGCCATCTAGAAAAAGAATACCCGAGGAAACTAAGGCTACAATTAGAGCTCTTAAGGCTACTAAAGATCTCACGCTCGAAGAAATTGCTCAGCGCGGCAAGGTTTCCAGGACAAGTGCACACCGACTAACAAGTGCACAGGAAAGAGTGCCTGAAAACAGGAGACATTTTTGTGGCCGAAGGAAAAAAATTTCCCCCGAACAAGAGGCATTGATTCTCGGAAGCATTGAAGAGTTGAGAGACCGAGAGGGCTCCTTTTCGTCTCGGCGTCTAATGGAACGGACAGGAATTGGTCATGTTTCTGATCGAACTGTTAGACGTCTTCTACGCAAAAAGGGACTCATGAGCCAATCGGACAAAGACACGAGAGTCACATTTGCTAGAAGGATGCAAGCAGATTACCCCCTGAACGTATGGAAAGATTCTATCGCTTTTTACTTGGATGGCGTCTTGTTTGTATACAAGACAAACCCCATGGACCAGGCCCGCGCCCCCAAAGGAAGAGTGTGGAGACAAAAATTCGAAGGTCTTACACAGGGGTGCCTAGCTAAAGGAAGAAAAGTTGGAACGGGAGGAAAAGTTGCCAAGTTCATGGCTGCAATAAGTCACGGAAAAGGAGTTTTAGTCTGTGACAGATACGAAAAAATGGACGCAAACTATTTTTCCTCTTTTATTGACCAGAATTTCAACACCATGTTCGTGCAATCCGGCTAAGGATCGAGTCGGCTCTGGCTGCAGGACGGTGATCCCTCTCAAAACAGCAAAGCAGCACGCGAGGCTATGGGTCGTTGCAATTCGGAACTATTAAAAATACCGCCGCGAAGTCCAGACTTAAACCCTATTGAGAACATTTTTAACCTTGCCTCCAGGAAGTTAGAAAAAGACGCTCTTCAACAAGGCATTACTCGCGAAACATATGACGAGTTCTGTGATAGGGTAGAAAGGACAATTTGTAGTATTTTTCAGGGTGTGATTGATAAAACAATACAGTCTATGAACGGTCGCATTGCTGATATAATACGAAACAATGGCGAAAGACCGAAATATTAGTTAGTCAGTAAACGGTGTAACGTTCCTGAAGAGTGTTTAACCAGGTTTAAATGACACTTGGACGGTTCTCTGACGGTTCACGAACTGTTCCACACGGTTTCAAGTTAGTATACGGTGATTTTTCGCGGTTTATTACGATTAACGAATCCCTGAAAAATGAAAAAGGTTGTCTCAATATTATTTTACTGTTCCAGCGTCAAAATCGTGGAAAATCGTAAAAAACCGTCCGATATAGCTTGTAAATCGAGCCAATCTGCATCTTCTTCAACCAAAATCGTGTGCGATTTTGCAGTATAAGAAAAGTAGTGCAGATAAAGGAAATCTAACGCGCACAAATATCGCTAATAGCAAATACACTTTTTAAAAGTAGCCCTGTGTGAGCAGCTACTGGACAGATGACGCACTGGTCTAGTTCCACGCTAAGGCAAGTGCGCCGGTTAGGTGCTCACACTGCTTTCGTAGGTTCAAGCTGCGGCCTAAGCATTTTTTTTTTCTTTTTTCCTTTTTTTTACAGTAATTTTTGGAAAAGTTTGGCCATAAAGAAATTGACAACATTTTGCTTAAATGCATTAACAAGTAATTAAAGGAAAGGTTTTAAAAAATATGATGACAAAGTTTCGACGTTCTCGTACGTCATTGTCAAGTCAAAAGACAAAAGCGTATGAATGTTCTATAAAATATAAGAAAACAACAAAAGATCATTAAAGAGAATAGTGACATCAGAATATGTTACAAGTTTCTACAAAGAATTTCGCACTTTCTGACGCACTCTGAGTACTTACGGACTTCTTTGATGCATAGCATCTCTTACATGAGGCTGTTTAAATATGTAGAGTATTTTGTAATACCATTAACCCCGCTATTTGCACCCGATGAATTTTTTCCTTTTCTTTCTTTCGTTATTTTTATTTATTTGTTTATTTTGGCCCTCCGCTGTTTAGGTGTAGTAATTAACATTATCACTGACAAAAGTGAAAAACGTAACAATTTTTGGACCTGAAGGGATACAAGAATTCTTTATTCATTCTAGACTCATATATACAGGCTAAACAACGAAGAGAGAGTATACTAATTAATTAAAGCGACAATTATCTCTTAAATTATTTTATCCTTTACACGGTATTAAAGTATATTTAACAATGTACACTTTCAGTATACTGGTAAATGACAAATAAAACGCCCGCAAACGACATTTTATTCTTAAAAAGTTCGTTCCATACATTGAAACCGATCCTCTTAAAAATTTAGAATGAATTCAGCAAAGCACCTTGCGCAAGATGGAATGGATAGTTGTTCGGCTTCTCGAATTTGTCGTTGAAACTGAAAAGAGTGCCAGCGTACCGCCATCATTTCGGTTTTCTCTTTCGTCTATCACCCCTCCCTTGACGTAACCCAAATCGTGTTTCGTTGTGCAAAAAATTGGGGTGTCTCTAGTAAACTCAAGGTCTTTGGAAAAGTAGGATTTGGGGGCAGGAAGGTGAACCGGCTGTCCCTCTAGCATTAGAAGCAGATTATGCCAGTGAATTATTTGAGGGTTCCATCTGAAGTCATTTAAGAAAATAAGCTCTGCTATTTCTGCCCCTAGTCTACCCGCGCAAAAGTGGATGTAGCTGGGTTACTGAATGACCTGTACACAATGTTTAAAGGGTTCAGTAAAAATGTTTTTCCAGTGTTTTCCAGTGTTGGCGTTTTCATCCCTCCCCACAAACGCCTGCTCAACCGAAGGGGCCCTTGAATAGCAAAATGTTTCAAAATTTAGAAACTCCGTTGCATAACCTTTTCGAAGGAAAGAAAAGAAGGAAAACCCTCCGTGTTTAGCCTGTTTTTCCAGAAGGTCGTTTTTAACAGCTCCCCTAAAACGCCTGCGTGGGAGGCTAGTGTTGGCGGGGCCCTTGAATAGAATTCTGAGAAGGCCTCCCGCGACACGTCGTTCCACCTAAGAATCTGGTTCGGCAACTGTAGCCACTGCCCGTTACATTGATCGACAGAAGGATCTTCTAGCGACTTCTCTAAGAGCTCCAGCCTTGTTAATTTGCTCCGCTCAATCACGTCACTCGCGTTCTCCATTTCCCACGAAGTTGCGATCACTTCTTCCACCACCCTATTTCCTCTGTTGAACACGAACTCCGCCAGGTCTGTTTTGCCCTCGGCTTTTTGCACGTTAGCGAGTGCGAGTAGTTCCGTTCTGTTACGGATTCCTTTATCGATGATTATTTTCGAAACTTCAAAGCTACTTAAACGTCGGGAACGCTTTCGCTTAACGGCTTTGCTAGCCCGCCTGCCTTCCTCTGTCTCCTTTTCTTCACCCTCCCTTTCTTCCTCGCTTGCGGCACTGGAAGATTCGTCATCGTGGTCGCTTGTGGCTGCTGGTACACTTGGTTGTTTTCGAGCTTGACTCGCTGACATGGTTCTCGGTGGACCAGAGTTGGCCAAGTCAGGATAATCAGGAGACTGAATGTAGTTTCTGTCTTCTTTGGTTGTATACAACCAAGCAGTGTAATAGTTAACGTGCCGATTAGAAAAGTGAATATAAATGCTCCATTTGTTCTTTAAATAGCCGCGAATGGGCAGCCACCTATTAATACGGTTTAACTTTATAGCCATGTGTAAATGCTTTCCTCCTCCTTTCTTATGACGTTCTTGGCAGCACGACCACTGAACAATTTTTGCTTTCGGTCCCTCGCAGTTTAAAACTGCTTCACAAACGGCATCTGCATCAGTAGGTAAACGCTTCGCACTTTGGCTGTTTCCGAGTCTTTATCAGAGCTGTCGGGTCTTTCGCTCGAACTGTTTGATGTGTACTGAGAAAGCAACTCCATCGTTATATTCTGGCAAAGAGCGTTTGTAGGTTTAAGTAGAAATATGCAACCGATGCAGTTTGCGCAATAATTTCAAAGGAATTTTCGTCGAGAAAAAAGAGTCAGTTTTGTGAAAGAAGTATGTTACTATTATGACACTAATAGTGTCATGTATTCATGCGTCCTACTTTTTTAATAAATGAAATACACAAAAAGCATTTATTGAATGTCATTAGTAACATTTTTTGCAATTTCGCTCGGGCTTATTCATGACGAGGCGAGGTTGCGACCGCAAGTTTTAAGTCATGATTACCATACAGTACGCTTTGGGTAACGCAAGTCTTACTCTCGGACAATCTTTGACAAAATAAAATGGAACAGCAAACCCCCATCCCCCCCAAATCAAGGATGAAGCCACGCGAAGGGCAAAAACGCGCCATTTTCCCATCCTTGATTTGGCGGGGGGGTCTAGGTTTTCCATTTATTTTGTCCAAGATTGTAGTCGAGCCGTTTTTTGGTCACTGTCTGGCTAAAAAAAGCAAAACTGCCCAAAACGCTGTTTGTAGTTGATTCAATAATGGTTGCTTTAGGTATTGGGGATTGCGCATTTGATCGTAGGAATAGATGGGAGGAAGTGTAGGTGGGTGGTGGAAACAGATTTTCATTGGAATATTTGGTTCAACGTTACACGGTTTGTTTAGTCATTGAGTTTGAAAGGCCTCTTTTCCTTGCAAAAGTTTATTCGAGTTAGATGACAAAGTCGTCTTTGACCGTTAAAATGATGACGTCAAGAGAGGTACAACGGATGTGGATGTGCACGGGCCGTTTCGGGCGGTTCAGGGGGAATGAATTAAAGGAAACCTTTTCACTAGCCACAAAAAAAATCCTGACAGAAGAGAGGATGACTTAATAACTTGCTTTATGGCAGTGAATATTGTAGTGAGTGGCTCATATGAGCTAGCTCAGCTTACCTCTTTCATCTCTGACGTCTCTTCGCGGGGGACCCCATCTATCCCTGTTGTCTCTGTTGTCCCCATCTCTCGTGTCCCTCTCTCGAGCAGCTTCCCTTTCTTCAATTTCCTTTTCCCTTTCTTTCTTCTTACGCTCCATCTCATTCAACCTGGCGATTCTCTCCTGGTACTCGCGCTCCTTTTCCTCTTTTTCCTTTCGCTCAGCCTCCTCACGCTCTTCGCGCTCTACAACAAAATGATATGCTGCATTTGATAACTGTTTACAATGTACATGTAAATATCCTAATGCAAATCATCATGATCATCATCATCCTCATCATCATCATCATCATCATCATTCAATATATAGCTGATTCAGCAAAGGTTGCTTTAGGCATTGGGAATTAGCAGTTGGGCGTTTGGGCATACGGAACAATGTAATGATTTCCCGAGTTGCCACCAAACAATAGCTTCCTTGTGCCCAATTCCCAATGCCCAAAGCAACCTTTATTGAATCAGCTGTATAATTATGCAGATGACATGCATTCAAAGAAAGCAACTGGGCAATACTATTTCTTGGATACCTACTGATCAGAATTGCAGTGTGACACAGTTTATTATGGGGTCAAGGTTTTACATCAAGCAGTTGAGTAAACAACTCAGATATGCCCCGTGTTTTAACTTGATAAAACACTCCCTGCGTTTATCAAATAGTTCTGTTCTATTGTTAAATATATCTACAGATGACAGAGCACTGCTAAAAACAAGGGTATATGTACGAAAGCAACATGCAACAATACGCCTTCAAAATCAATCTAACTCTGTTAAAACAAGTACTGTAGCCATATATAAATATGTGTCATATCTTACCTCGCCTTTCTTTTTCCTCCCTTTCTTTTCTTTCCCTTTCTTCCTTTTCAATTCTGCGCTGTACCTTTCTTTCCAAAATACGTTCTTTACGCCGTTCTTCCATACGCCTCTTACGAGCCTCATCCAAACGTTTTTGAAATTCCTTCATCTTTTCCTGGAAAAAGAATCAAAGGAACTCAATAAATTCTCACAGGTCGAGTGCCTAACAAACATTATTCTAGGAAATGGAGGATTAACTCTAAAGCGCCGGTAACTTGCTATTACGTGAAAAAAAAGGCTCTCGGTCGGAGGGGAGAGGGGGGGCGGCATGTTACATTTCATAAATCTCTACACGTCTGTGTTGACGCACCCTTCATCATTGGCGACTTTCTCACGGTACATTGTACATGATGTGTTTCTCACCTCATGAGCTGCTTGCCGAGCCTTGTTGAGGTTTTCAAGAAAAGCGTCTTTGTCAGGAACCATTCGTTGAAGTCTGCCACTAGTTTCTACCAGTTTCTTGTGCTCGGTAACAGTTTTGTTAATCTGCCACATAATAAGAAATAAAACAAATCAATTTATTAATTAATACTTTCACCACTTAAGCTTATGAAACGAGCTCACCCCAAGTAATTAGTTATCTTTTTAAGCTTCAACTAAGAGTAGCTTCTCACGTGGACGTTCTAAGGGCTTCGTCACGCGTTCAGGAGGATTGCGTGACGAGCCAAAAGGAGGTCTGCGTGGGAGGCTACAATAAGAGGAAAATCAAAAAAAACATCAAAACTTCTTACCCTCTCTTCTTCTTGCTCTTCCCAAAACTCCTTATCTTGCACTAAGTGCTCTTCATACTGTTTGTTCAGAAGTGGAATTTCCTCGACACGCATAGCTCTTACAAAGTAATCCATCTAGAGAGAGCAAACAAAAATAAAGGCTTCACGATTTTAATAGTTCTCCAGGTGTGGCTTGGTGTGGTATCTAAAGCAAAACTGATGAGCACAATAATCATTCAACAACATGGTAATTTGCAAACGTAACAACAGGACAGTAATCATGGAAGGCCAACAAGAGGAATGTGCCCATGGGTGTATGGGTTTGAATTCAACTGGCCTGTTAGGCAGGCGTCCAAAGGGGAGGGGAGGGGAGGGCAAGGGACGACAGGTATATTCATAGTCTGCCGGTATTTATAGTTTTTCCCCTATTTTTAAACATTGTCAATAAAGCAATCGGCTGCAGGGAATTACAACTCAAAACAAAGACAAAAAGTTTGGTTGATAAGTAATATTTTCCACCCCATACAGATCGTATGTTAGTTTTATCTGCGGAGCGTTTATCATGAATTCTTGCTCAAGAGAATTTCAGCTTTTTATTTCCTACAATTTTATCCTGCTTTTCATATCTGGTGAGTCAATAAACTCATAGTCCATAACTCAAGTCAAACATTTCCTTCACGGTATGTCTCATTTCCCCTACCATTGGGGGAAGGGAAGGGGAAAGGGGTGAGTACCTTTTTCTCCTGTGTCTTGAGCCTTATCTGCAGTTCTTTCTTCTCTTTATCAAGCTGCTCAACTTGTCTGGCCAGAATGTCATCGGCATCCATGGCTTCTATTTCCTGTTCAAATTGACAACAAAATGTTGCTTTTTAATGCCCCCCATAGACAGAATAGTGTTACTAGAATAATTGTTCTATCAGGAAAATACTTTCATTTTAAAAGCAACTCCACTGCAAATGAATGTCCTAGACAATGGTCACATTCTACAGCATATAAAACAAAAAACCAAGCCTTAACAAGTATCTGTTCAGAAAAATGGATACAAAAAGACGCCATCTACAGTTGTAGTTGCAAGAAATATCGGCTACGAAGTTAATCACCTCTTCTGTTAGGTCCTTCAATGCTTTAGCTCCAACAGATGTTTTCTTGAGAGCAGCAATCTTATCCATGGCCTGCTTCTTTTCTATCTCTTGTAGCTCTTGTTTCCGACGCAATGCCTCACGCTTCTGTCTCTCTTCATGAAGACGCTTCTGCTCAGCTTCTAAACTCTCCTGCTGTTGTAACCTTAACATCTTCTGCTCTTGTTGTTCCTGATGTCAAAAGAATTACCGGTAAGTCTAAGTTGCTTGAAAGACTGTGGCTTGTTCATAGACAGATAGCTACAACTACAAGCCGAAGTGCTCTTCAAATCTTTCGAGATACAGTGCGGTAAATATAAATTTTGTACACAGTCGATGAACATCGTAGTCTACTCTCAGAATTTTAAACCTTACCACACCCAACACGCCCAAAACCCAAAGAAGACGTGGGAAAGGCACAAATACTCCTCTTTCCTTTCCCTTTTTAATGCCTGCCATGCAAGCTAAACTGCTTATTGCAACATAATTATGCTTCCAAATACCGTTCCATGGTTATATTTTACTTAACTAAACTTAAGAGACAGGGATGGGAGGAGAAAGGTTAGTTGATGATCTTTTTCTGTTTGTTTTAATAGTCTGAAGAACATTTTAGCAGCCCTCATTTCCCCCCTCCCACTCCATCTAAGAAAAAGCAAGCACTTGACACTCACCCTTTTAACATGGAGTGATTCTAAGTATTCTTTGCGAGCTTCAATCACAGCCTTCCTCTCAAGCATCTGCTTGTGTTCCTTCTTAGCTGAGCGCAAATACAGCTGAACAATTCTCTGCTGTTCATCCTGGCACTTTTGCTGTAAAAGGAAAAAATAACACTTTTGACCCATCAAACAACGACAAAAAAAATCACAGAGAGCTGTTTCGACACTGGGTATTCACTGGCCACAATTTGTTTCTATTTCAAGTCCTGATATGCTTACCTATGCAATTGCAAGTAAACAAAATAGCAGTCCAATTAAAATTAAAGAGAGAGAGAGAAAAAAAAACACGAAGGTAATGTTACTGATATTTTATAGCATACTAAAACTCACAGTAAAAGTAAACTTGCTGTTTATCAGTCTATGGGTGGTTGAATATTATCCTCACCACAGGTGGATGTTAGGACAAGGTGGTGTACACTTTATCATCACATACAGCAAGCACAAAAACTTTACACATGTACCAATAATAATAAGCTTAGAACAAGATGCAGTGATGACTGACAGCAAACAGAAAGCAGCTGTTTGCTGTAAATGTCATGCTTAACCTCTCAATTGTAACAAACCTTGATAGCCTCAGGTTTAATTTTATTGATGGCCTTGTGCAGTGCTGAAGACATCAGAGTCAACTGATTTCTTAGCCGTTCTGATGGCATTGACTGTAACAAAAGAGAAACAAAAATAGTGACTAAACAAAACAAGAAAAAAGTTTAACTTTTAATAACCAACAGTGTAAACTTGCTGTTCATCAGTCTATGGGTGGTACAGTTTATCCTCATCACAGGTGGATGTTAGGACAAGGTGGTGATAATTTTGTCATCACATACAGCAAGCATTACTACAACTTTTATAATAATTATTATTTATAATGGTAGAACACAACTGATGAAAATAACTTTTCCTTATAAATATTAGCAGCAAATTTGCTGATTCACATAAACTCCATTTTACATAGCCTGCAACCTCATTGCTGCACAAAGCAACATTTTCTCGCGTTTGCCCTAAAACTGTCTACTTTAAATATTTTTTGGCAAACTTTGCTGTAAATCTTTATTCTTTAAATTATTTCAAAAGAAGTTAAGATGGCACACAATCCACCACGAAATTCACTAATTTTAATTTTCAGTGGACAAAAACCTTGTACCAGACTATTTTAAGCAATATTGCATTCTTTTTAACACTTTTCAAGGGCTATAAATGTAATAAGTTATATGAAATAACTCCAAAGAAAAGGTTCTCATGGAAGCCCGAGAAAATAAATTTCATATTTCACAGGAATAGAGCAAACACAGGTTAAATTATCAAGCATCAGATTTCATTTTGTGAAATTTGAAGCTCTTGAAGTTTGTTTTCTTGGGGTCCCATAAGAACCTTTTGTTTGGAGTTATTTTTCATATAACTTATTTCATTTATGGCCCTTGAAAAGTGCAAAAAAGAATGTAGCCTGAAATTCATCCGATTGCTTCGAGTCGTTTTCTCCTCTCAACAACATCTGAATCGACCAGCCGTTAATGCCGTCCAGTGACGTCACTCACTACCCGAAAACTGGGTAGTGACTTTGATTGGTTGATTGTCTAAACATTCGCATAATTATGTATAATTATGTTAAATTTTAGCGGGATTGTCATTTGATATTCAGCGTATCACATCCCTGGCATTCTTTTGGTTAGTTCAAACATTTCTATAAGCTTAATCTTTATCTTAAACAGCAAAATTGCCCTTGTCTTCGAAACTGAAATGCTAAATTGAACCGCGAATGAAGAATCATCGCGGAGAGTCGGTAAGTGAGTTTTCATTCAGAGCCGCTTTGTGGTTTCGGCGGCCGGTGATTTTGTTTACGCGAAGTTTTCTGAGGTCAATGTTATGAATTACTCGACCTTCTTGCTATTTTTACCGTCAAGTGTAATGATTCTGTTAGCTTTTCTTTCTTGTCTCCTAGTTTTTTTCTTCGTTAAGGACCAAATGGCTTCTTTTCAATTAAAGCAAATCATTGTGTTTTTGAACCAAGTGTTCCGTGTGTGTGTTTATTTCATTGCGTGATTGCGACCGAGTTTGATTTTAGAATTTATTACAACTGGTTCAGAGTTGTACCGCATGCAGTTGATAGTTTGAACGTTAAACATGAACTACAATCGAAAAAAATAAAGCAGTTCTGTATCATGCAGACATTTCCAAACGATATTTCTCGGTTTGCCACTTGAAAATCGTGTTTTGCTTTTTGCATGAATTAAGGGAAAGGTCAAGGAGTAGTGACGTCACTGGACGGCATTAACGGCCGGTCGATTCAGACGTTACTGAGGGAGTAATAACGACTCGAAGTAATCGGGTGAAATTCAGGCTAAAAAGAATGCAATATGATTTAAATTACTCTGGTACAAGGTTTTTGTCCACCACTGAAAATTAAAATTACTCAATTTCCTAACGGATCCTGTCTTACCTTTTTCATCATCATACAACATAAACATAGTTTATATGTTTAAGTAATAGCACTACATGTAGCATCTTCGTGTGAATCAAGTTACCAAAAGAAATAGTAACCCAAACAAGCCCTTTGAAGCTGGTCATTCACATGGCACATTTGTACAAAACCACTATGCTGGAGAGAAAGGAACACACTGGGATAAAACAAACAAAGAAAATTACCATTTTACAAGAATGCTGATGCTGTCTTTGTTTGTCTTGTTCCACTGCATCCCTTGCTCAGCCTCTCCAGCAAGAGGGTTTTGTACCACATGAATGACTAACTGTAAAGAGTATATTACCCTCTGTAGCTTAAAGATAAAGATTTTTTGCTTACCTGGAGATAAGGCCCCTCTGGTACCTCCTCTTTATGTGCCACATGAAGATCAAGTCCAAAGCTGACTGCTTTACTTCGATGGTCAATACGCACCTAACAAAAAGCAAAGCCAAACAAAACAATTTTCTTTAGGGTATATACAATAGGTAACTGAATGGCTTTACATCATGTTAATTTTCAGGACATGGGCTTCACTGCGTCTATGGCAGAAAATCATACAGAGAAACTGATGGAGAACTTAAAAAGTGGTTCTCCTAGTTTGTTTAAATACTACCAATAGGAGAAGTGGCCACCTTTGAAGAGGTTAGACAAATCAAGAGTGCATGTATGAACTAAACACCAGCAGGGTAAAAAAAAGGTTGTGCTTGTAGAGGTTCAACTTAGATACACAAACCAACTCTGATCACCTGAATAAACAGATACATAATGTACGTAATACATACATTTAGGTAGAGCTAAAAGTGAAGATCCCACTTACGCATTAATATCATTTTTACTTCACAGAATGTAAGTGGAATCATTGCAAAGAAATCCACAAATCTATACATGCTTTGCACACGGGAGGCCCCTGCGATAATCAACACATGTACATACCTGTAGTTCATTTGCCAAAGCAACATCTACTATGGCTCTTTCCAGTTGAAACTCTGTGGCAAATGGCACTAATGACAAGAGTCGCTTGAACTCCACAGTCTGGTACACTTGAGAAACCTGTTATTATATACACAGATCAACAGTAAATATGTCACTGTACCCACACAGAGCCTTGAAAAGCAGATAAAGCTGGGCTCACCTGTTTCAAAAGCCTTACTATAGCCACCTCTTGCAAGGGCTTGATATACTGTGCTAATTCTAAATCTTCATTTTCTTGTAAGAACTCAAAGATGGTGTTAACTCGAGCACAGAGCTTCAGGGGTGAGAATTCCTTCTCCAGACCCTGATACAGGTCTTGTAACTGCGGCATAATATGCTGCTGAACATTCATCTTAATCTACAACATAAACAAGGAAACACGAACATTCAAAGTGAAATAATACAAGGCTTGTTGTTCTCTTATAGCTTTGTCTTCCTCTTATTGCTGATGACAATTAGAGGTGACTTTCTATGTATGAGACATCTTGCAATGCTTTGGTAAATAGTTGTTCTTCTTCCACATTGACATCTAATATTACATTTCAGTTTTATTTTGCCTTTGCGAAATTCAGATTCTTATGAGATAAATCCAAATACCATATTTTTCCGCTTATAAGGTGCAGCATTTTTCAAGGAAAGTTTGCTTGATAGCTCTAGATCTGTTGTAATTTTGAAGTGCCTCTTATAACCGAGTGTTGTGAGAGCTCTTTTATCACAGTTATTTTGATGAACAAGGGCTTTTTTTACCATATTTGGCAGTTAATTAACAAAATATTCAGGCTTGTGTATTATGCGATTGATGTCAATATGCCGCAACCAAGACAGCTGACTTGCTTATGGAACGAAAACAGATTCCCTAAGTATTCACAGCCTTAGAAAACAATGCTTTTGTGTTGATAGGTGCGATTTTTCTCTTTTGATTGAAAAATTTAATAATATGTAACCGTTTTCGCTTTTGTTCACTTAGGTGAATGGCTGCAATCAGCGTCATTGGAAAGCATCTTGTAGTTACGGTGAACATCGCCAAAAATTGTGGCTGAGCCTTATAGCCCAGTATTTTGACTTACTTTTCAGTTTGTTAACTTAGAAACTAACATTAAAACGTTTGGGGTACTTCTTATACTACACTGTGGTGCTCTACCTTTAAGGGTGGTTTTCCCTGGCAACAGACTCATATGAGTGCTTAAGCCTTAGTGAAAACAGAGCAGTAAACTCAATCAAAACAAACTCACAAAAGTCAGAACACATCCATTTGATTCCACTTGTGACACCCTTGCACCTTCTCACATACATGTAAAATAGTTCGTGGGAGTCACAAGCCAAAATTGAAAGAATAAACTACAATTTCTTCTCTCTTCACAGACACCTCTCTAAGATAAACACCGTTCTCTAAGATGGACACCTGGTGTTGGACGTTTCCCTGCTGTTTTTCAGTCATGGTACTTGAAGTTATTCTAAGACAGCCTGCTGGGGCTGGTCCGTATGGCGTCCCTTTTAGAGAATTGACTGAATACAAAATGGATGGGTCAAAGTGCTGCATTTGGTTGGTTCCCCAGCTTTGACTTATGGCTTTCACTAGATCATAAGCAACAGATTCATAGAGGAATTGGAAATGCTGTTTAGATGCCATAGGTTTGATATTCACTAGAATATAATGCCCCATGCTACTGATTGTGACTTTGACTCTGTTGCAAGTGAAAACCAGGGGTGCTTACCATTTACACAAACCACCCGGGTGGAAATCTTGTGCATAAACATTAAACTGTAAAATTATTTTGACGTGGTAGGAGAACATCCTGCCACAAAATACTATCCAAAACAGTTGAACAGACTAAAAAGAGTAGAAAAATATTGCATTGCCCATGTTTTCTGAAGAATCCCAAATGGAATAGTGCGCACCATTTGATTTTCCAACTAGAATTTCCAGTTTTTCCATGTACTGTAAATGGTAAGTACCCCAAGTCTAAAGAAAATGAATGATGTGTAGTTTTGCTTCTTACCATGTCATTTACAAGGGATGCTCTTGTGGGAATACTCTGTAAGCCAAGTAAGTTGGCTAAACGTCGTGATTTCTCACGCACAATTTCATCATACTCAAGGTGTTTTTCTGTCTCACTGAGTGACACTGGAATTGGAACTGCCAGGGTTGCTAGCAAAACTCGTGAAGCCATTCTGCAAAACAAAGGAAAGAAAACATTCCAACTTCAAGTAATCACCATTAAGACTTTGTAAACAACTTTATAAATAACCACTACTCCTGTGTGTGCTTGGAATTACAGTGTTTTACATCATTCACAAAGCTAAGGCCAATTTTGAGCAACTTTATTTCACTAAATGACAGTTGGAAGGTAAAAGTTTTGTAATGGAAATTACCGCCTTGAATATAGGATTACCCTTTGGCATCAAAATCCTATGGTAATTTAAGTAGATTATTACACAATACGACAATTGTTGAAACACTTAAGATAAAGAAACCAAAAAAAAAACTGATTGTTGAAAATGATACGAGCACAGTAAAATTCCGGGGCTTATATTTTTCAAAGGCTTTTTTTGAGGGGCTTATTTTTGGAGGGGCTTATATTCGGAAGGAAATTTGCATTTCAAAATCGATTGGGCTAGCCTTATAGTTGGAAGTAAATTTACCGTTTTTGCTTGTTTTACTTTGTATTTGAGGGCAATTTTCCAAGTACAAGCCCCCGGAGGCTTATATTTGGAGGGGCAATTTAACAGAGGGTTTTTTGTGTTACCGGTTTGGCGGGCTTATATTTGGAGGGGCTTATTTTCGGACTTTTGCGGTACTTCCAAGACAATGCATAACATGATACTTGACAAGTTCACAAAGACAGTCTCCTTGAAAGAGCTGTGACTAAACTATGTAAATTTTTTTAATGGATATTGGTGCTAACGCTGACACATACATACAAAACAATAGTCCTCTGCGCGAACATGAGCTTACCGGCAATAAATAATCTGTACGACAAAAAGGGCAGTGACGGGTACCTATGGTCTGAAGCTTAAACATTTAATGCCATGTGATGAGAGGACAATTATTTTCCAAAGAAAAAAATTAAATTATTTAATAGTTTGTTTCACTCAGTGTACCTTGTTTTTCAACACAATTGTCTTCCATTACCAATATGTTTACCGTGTGTTGTCTGTGCAAAAATGTATGCAACGAAACATTGCAACGAGTGACAAAGGAACGAATGTCCATCAAACACCATGTGCTTGAAAAACAAAATAGAACTTCAAGGCAGTCATGTTGTGTAGCGACTTCTACACTGCAAGTGCAATGTAGCATGTAAGGTTCGTTCAGCGGCTTAGTCAATGTTAAAACTATTGTAATTTCTGGCAAAGATAAAGCACTTATTACAAAATTAATGTTGTAACAAAATTACCACATTAAAGACAAAACTTTAAAAATGTCAGTGTTTTAAATTTACGCAAATTTATGACATTTTAATTGAATGTTTACATAGTAAAAGTGGCAGATTCGTCTTAGCATTTTCCAACATTGTGATTTTCAATGTTTAATAATACAAGCAATTAAAAAAATATTCAATACCAGTACAACTCAATCAACACTTAGAGCAATTTCGAATGGATAGAAATAGCAAAGAAATCAATCAATAATCAACATTTTATGAAACCGAGAATGGGAGATAGCAGGTATCGAACACAGCTTCGGCTCCGAAGGTTTCACTTTACCGCACAAGAATGATAGAAATGACCTACACATGACATACACTTTTATCGAGAAACTGTAGCCACTAAAAAAGGAATTAACAACATAAGACAACAATGATAACATGCTGTTATTGAAACAATCATCATGTTTTTTTTAACACATTATTTTTATTCTGTACTGTCATCACTAGTTGACTCACTCATCATACAAGAACTGTATGTTACTCTCTATACAAAACCTGACTTACTTTTGATGTTCCTCATTAGTCATGGTGCGTTTCTGTTCCCTGGACAGTACATAAAGACGATGAAGGGTGCTTGCATGAAATAAGTAGTTGCCAGCTTTCCAGAAAACAAGAGCAACCTTCTGATAATAGTTGGCCATCACTTGTGGCTTTGGGGGCCTTTTGGACAGCTGCATCAGTCCATAAACATCCTCTACAGCTTTAAATGCCTCCTAAAGTGCAAGGTAATGACATAATGACTGTAGGGAATGAGTAAAAATTTGATTACCCATTGACATTCCATGAAATCTGGACTTTCTTGACATAAAATTGTAGTCATTAGATATTCTGTGAAGAGTGTATGTTACCGCTCAAAAGTAACCTACCAGTCTCATCTCACTCGTCTCTCAAGAATCACTGAAGAGGCAATTTGGAATAAATTATGAGAGAAACTCAAGATATCTCTTTGACCAAGAAACGGAAAGACAACAAAACAACAAAGCTCTTGTCAAAATGCTGTCATGACTAGGCTTCAAAATTCAGCTACATTTGTAAGAGTATGGAACTATTAATTTTTCTCTTCTAACAAACAATATTATTATTTTGAGCTTAATCCAAAATATTTTGGGGCTGTATTCAAGTCAGCTGAAATCCTAGGTGATTAAATGCATGCAATTGTTGTCTGTTCCCAACCAAAGTAATTTTGGCAACTCTCCAATTTCAAGTTTCTAGAAACTTGGAATTTAGCAACTTGTAACTCTGGCTCTTGACATTCATAACCATCTTCCATGTGAAGTTCTAATGAAATTTTGCCTCAAACCCATACTCCCAGCCGTGTGTGAGAAAAACGTTTCCGCTTCTTTCATCCCTCGGTCAGCAGAAAACCACACTTGCTAGCACAATCCAAAACTCGTCTCTGAGCACAATCATTACTGTGTTATGAGCTGATTTAAAAGTCAGTTGATCAGTTTTAATCAAGCAAAAAACTCACTTAAATTAATTTTCATGCAAAACTGTACATATACATGACAACCATGTTCTTTATCGAAGTATACTTGCGGAATTGGAGGTCTAACGCATTATGATCAGAAAGCTGTGCACAGAAGTATTTTTGTCACGATATCCATGACAATTCCGAAGATGTTTGACACTTACAGTTTTTTAACCTTCTCCTTGCGAGATGAGAGTCTCGACGCGAAAGATGAATGTATTGTCTTTAGAGATGAGAGTCTCGTGAAAGGGTGGTAACTTACTTTTGAGCAGTAATGTATTTCTGCAGTCTTAGCCAGTCCAACAACTTGACCAGTCTTTTCGATCACAAAAAAAATTTATTTTGAGTGATGATGACAACACAACGACCACAGACACAGACTTTAATGTCAGTATACCTGCAGCAAAGATTGGATGAGTTAAAAGAGTTTGTGAAAATCCCATTTACACTGCAGCTACATGCAGAGTTTAATGCCTCAGAGTGGAGTGACTGTTTTTCCCTAATTATGTGACAGACCTGCCATAGCTCCATGTTAATAGCACTCTCCAGCTGAGCCAGCCGTGTTTCCAGATGTAGCTGTAATGTTTCTGGATTGGTGAGGTTCACTGCATTGGGTTGTCCTTGATGCTTTATTGCATTGTTTAAATGGTTCCTCAACTGAGCAAGAGAAGGGATAAATTTATTATAAGTCAGGATAAGTGAACTCAGGTATAAAAAAGAGGGGAAAAAATCATTGACTGTAGACAGAGCTGACAAAGAATGTAAGCTGTAATGGGTGTTTCAATGGGCAACTTGCTCCATTTCTAGTGGCAACTTTCCCACCTTCGATGTCACTAGCAGAAAAGCATGCAAAACTGTAAGAGATATGTGCAACTATTATCTCGCCTTATTTTGTTGACAATGGAATATCAAATGAAAGTAGAGTACACTACAATGCGAGGAAATATTCAGTGTAAATGTATCCTTATCTCTAGCTGTTGCATTGAAGACTGAGGTTTGACAATCAACAGAAAGCAGCCAACCTTTCCCACAGGTTCTGCTAGTTCTATTCAACCTTCCTATCTTTTAAATAAATGTAAGTTATTGTTAAGGCTGTGTACGTCTGTAGCCTTTCATTATAAATTTTTTTTAATGAGTATTCTAGAGGACTGTCACTTGAAAGAAGGCATAAAAGCACTGAAAAAGCAATTTTACAAACACTATGGTAAAAAAGTTCAACTTCACTTAAAGAGAATGAGCTTGTTATAACAAAAATGTCAGGATAGTACAATGTAAATGGCTGTAAAGTCAATGTTAAATAATTCAATAACAGTTCTAGCGCTGTATACTTAGCATTAAATAACAATGAAATTGTACTTACATTGTCACATAACTTTCGAAATTCTGTACGTCGAGAGTACTTCAAACAAAACTTGAAAGCTAAAATACCAGAGTATTCTTTGTCAGTAAACTGCTAAACTACTCTTTTGTTTAATTCATCAACCTTAAAAAATAATGTTAAGTAAAAAGTTCCATGAAGTACATGTGATTATGTTACCCTTGCATCACTGGTTATAAAACTCCCTAAGGATGATGTGCATCCTGTAGGATGCAAAGATTTATTCTATCAATCTAACGACATTTGTGGTTTAAGTCCTGCTTATGTGATTTTTAATCTGTAATAAAACGACCCCTATTGTCTGCCTAAAAGAGTTCTGTAGGTACGGATTTCAAAGAATACACGGCATTTCCACTCAAACTCTCCACTGAAAATCATTTTATTTCCAATAGTTCCATACATGGCGTGCAATCCGGGCCTTGTTAACCCTTTATTTTTAAAAAGTGAATGATGGAGTCTTGTACATGTACATTGTTTCTAACTATTGCATCTGTGAAGGAAATCTTGCAGGGTGACCATTAATGAGAACTGAGTACTTCTTTGGCAGAGCATTTATTTTCAACACTGTCATTTGATTTTAGCATTTGAAAAAATGAACTTTGGAATTTTTGTGGAATTTTGACTTTAGCCACTTCTAGGAATAAAAAAGGTAAATAAATACGTGTAAGGGCAACTGGGGTTGGAGTTGCGTTATATGTTGTACTGTACTTAGGAATAGAAACACGGTAGTTTACTTTCAGTATACTGTAATATTGAGTCATAATAATATTAATGTTACCAAGGTTTAATATCTGGTTACATGAGGGTTCAAGGATCTTGAGCATTGGACTCAATGGTTCTGGACAGGGATTTTTCACGAGACCACTCCACAGTAATTTCGAAAAAAAATCACTGAGTACACAATGGAGTTTCCCTGTCTATGTACATGTACATAAACAGCATAGAACATTATCAAAAGATATGTTACCTTGTTGGGCAGTGTCATGGTATAGCTTCTCCACACGGACATTATTTCTCAGCAGTTCTAACACATTGCGGTAAGCTTCCCAAAGAAACTTCACCCAGGGTGTTAACATAACCCTGTCAGTACGATCCTGAGTGTCCTCTCCACTGACAAAACTGAGCAATACACTAAAGAGGTAAAGAAAGACAGAAGTTTAATCTAACAAAATCAGAAATTATTTTCAAACTCTCCAAAGTTAATGTCAGAGAGTGTTGGTTTCATAACCCACACCAAGCTTCCATGTTTCAGAGCATGTTGTACTACTCAGAAAAGCTATAGCAGGTTTTTTTAAAAAAACTATTACTACATGTATGTGTACATGACACTAAGGCTACTGATATGTTTGAGTGTGCAGGACACTAGCATGATACATACAATGTATATAGATAGCATTTAATATTATCCCTGGTTTATTTTCTACTGTTCTTGGGTATGGTAAATAAATGTAGAGTGTAAGATTACAATGGTCCACAAAACAAACAACAATAACAAAAGGAGCATAGAGCTTGTGAATGCCTCAACAGTTCATACTGCGGATTCAGGTTGAGCGTTTAATGACGTCAGTTATTGCGTTCGTTATCATGGTTGATTGGTTGTGTTGCGAGGCAAATTGTCAGGCGTTGCTAGGCGGGGATGATATCATTCTGTCTGGGAAAAGGTGTGTTGTCTTATCGATCTGTATGTCATGGCGATTGAAATCAAGATAGAATACTCCTACTAATCTACAAAAACAATAACTCCAGTATATATTGTCGAAGAAGAGCTTATGAGCCTGGAATAGAGCAAGTTTGTAGAATGCATTGTGAACGAGGTGCACCATCTCCGAAGGATGAATTCAAACTTTCGACGCGGTAGATTTGTCCAGAAAGTATTTCAGCTTGCAGATGAACGGTTTGTTAGAGAAAGGAGCTAAGAACATCAGAATAAGAGTCTTTGAATTCGCTTCACCAGCCGTGGATACTGGTATACATGGCTGAGACGGGAGCAGAGGTTCACAAGCTAATACGGACGCATGTTCGACGCTCACTAAATTTACAAATCGACCGGGAAATATCATTGTTAGTGGGTTACCTCCCCCATCAATGATTTTATCGATGATAATATGTCTTAGGTCAGAGGATAAAGGTTTTCCTGGGATATAAGAGTGACCGCTCTGCTTACGGTCAATATGTTTACATTCTTTAACACGCCTTTTCTCCGACAGAACGCTATCATCCTCCGCCTAGCACCGTCTGACAATTTGCCTCGCAACGAAACCAATCAACCGTGATAACGAACGCGATAACTGACGTCATTAAACGCTCAACCTGAATCCACAGTATTAATTTTTAATTTCCACTGCAAACAAAAAGGAGACATTCACAAAACAAGAACAACGATTAGTGTATATGTTGTGGTTCAATTTTGTCCTTGGTTTAAATTTTCTTTTCTTTTGTTTCCAACTCAACAACAAAAAGAAAATTTGAACCAAGGATAGAATTAAACCACAAATTTTCAGCAGCTTGCTTGAGTTGCTTCATATTGCTTAACTGTGAATTGGGGGACTTTAAAATTAAGGCCTGGGGGTTGGGCGGCTTCCATACAAAAGTGATGGGGATGCTCGTCGTCTCACTAAGGGGTAAGACTGCAGATTTTGATCTTACTTAGGGTGTTTGGGATGGTAAGTCACTATACTATTTGCCCATTCAGCTATCACTTGGGGCTGTGCATAAAGAAATTTACAAAATATGCTGTGATGTCTGTTTTAATATGGTCTCCTTTAGGAGTCAGTTTAAGCTTGAGCCACATCCACATTGGTCTCTCTTAGAGGTTTAATTTTAATTTTCCGATGAGCATCCCCTTCACTTTTATATGGGAGTGCCCCTGGGCTATAAGGATAAATTTGTATGATGCATGATTATTCTAAATTACGGGAACAACATTAGATTTTGAAATCAATACTTCAATCCTGATCTAATTCATGCCAAACATTGCAAACAAGGGAGTACCTTTCTGGAGTCTGTATCTGATCCAGATCCTCCACAATAGGGACCTGGTCACGGGATTCTTTCCTAGCCGTTTCTGCTCGGTCTTCCGCAAGCTTAAGGAAGTAGCGAATGACATCCTCAAGAGATACAATGTTAACCTGCTGGCAAATCAACTTGTATTGGTACAATCCTTCCTTTGCAATGTGGCTTCTTCGAAGGTCTACACACAGCTCCAAGTACTTGAAGAGAATGGGCTCATGGATTTTGTTTTGCCAGGTGCGATGTTTCTTGCTTTTTATTACATCGTACAATGCATCCAATGCTGGCTCTTTCTTGCCAACTTCAATGAATTCTACAGTAAAAGAAACATTTATTCTTAAGAGTTTGTGGTATTTCAGTGAGCCATAGATATGAACCATGAATTCATTACCTTTTCAAGTCATACATGTATATATTTTCCCCGGCCCTGGAAGCCATAAACCAGTAACATGCAATGCACTATTTGGACGATTCATGATGGCAGACAGTAGAAAACTGATAAATGCTAGACACCATTTTAATTTTGTATAATATAAACTGAGTCATAAATAAGGAATTGGTCTACTGGTTAAACATTTTAATTTCATATATAAACTGAGTCATAATTAAAGAACATTGGTTCACTAGTTAAAAATCTGAGTGGAAAAATAGTGAATTTCTGTAAAATGATCCCTAAGGCTGAAAATATTACTGGGAAACTATTTTCTGTTCCATTATTTTAGGACCACGGTAACAACACAGTACCGGAAACAATCGATACAGTGAAATCCTAGGGCTTACTATCAGTAAACAGTAGAGCAACAAATTAATATTGTTGAACTCAGCTAGAAGTCAAATAGCAGCCAAGATGAACACCAGCTCAATGGCAAAAACATTAACAACACAGGACATGAAATTGCACCTAACATAGGCAACAATATCACCAAATGTTTCACTTTGGTGACTTCACTCTTAAAATTAGTCACCAAATTGGCGCCTAAAACTTTGCCTAAGGATCCTGTGATTTGCTAAAGACACAAGAGTAATCTGCAGCAGTGATCACAGGGCATCTAAACTTTCCTGTTCCGTTTGTTTTCAAGAAAACAGCACGTTCGTAATCTCCTACGGTGGCTGAAGAAGCCATCTTGAATTTAAGTAGCTTTTTGCATTGTGTATGACCCTTTCTGGTATCACAAAACACACTCTTGGACTAAAATAGCCCTTTACGAAGGCTTTTGTCCGGACAATATGATAATTATATATGTATTATGGACCAAGTAGGCAGCTAAGTTCATGTTGAGCTTTAAAGAGTTTTCTTCCCATTGCATGGTAAAGAAAAGACATCATTGTTATTAATAACAAATAAGCCATAAAAAAAATGTCATTAACTGCAAGAACACATTTTTCCCATTTTTGGTGAAAATAATCATTCATTTGTTAATAAAACTTGTACTTTTTTGACGATGAGTAGGTATTGCATGAAAGTGAACACAATCGTGTTTTAGTTACTGAGTTTGTCCAGTAAACTGGGGCTAGAGCAGATTAAGAGGCTTGTTGGATATTGATATTATCCTCACTTTGAAAGAAAAAGTTTTTTTGCTAAAAATTAATCAAATCTATTCAATTCTTTCATTAAAAACATTAAAATAGATTAAACAATGCAAAAAAGTTGAAATTTTATGGTCAGACAGTCGAGTCTAATGAAGAAATGACAAACTCTGGTGATTATCCAGGAGATTTCATACTCTAATCTGGAGACCAGGAGATACAGTCCATGGAGTCTCCTGGAATATCCAGGAGAGTTGATAGCACTTATCTTGTAAATGAACAGAGTTAAAAAAATATACATGGCTTTCAAATAGTGGTGAACAACTTTCAGGAATTGGGTACTACTCTAGATTATTTCAGAGCCAACTGGCTACTGAAGAAAAAAGACATTTTCATGCCCTGCAACAAGGAGAAACCAAGTGATTGGTTTCATGGTACAGTATTGTTTTCTATTTCGTTTTGTTTGTATAGAGCTTGTTTCACTCATCTGATTTCTTCAAATTTGAGTTGCAATCTATGGTTTATGTTTATTGGTCGACTCTGATAAAGAAACTAATGCAAATGTATAAAGTCAAAGTCTCTGGAGTATTCTTAACATTTCCACTGTTCATTTGAATGGCACTTGACACCTCATATGACGTTATCTATCAAAACCTGCATTAGGCGTATATACTGTATTAATTAATTAAGTGGACACTACAGCATTGGGCTATTGCATTATTTAATATCCGCACCCCCCCGGTTGAGGAACCATGTAATTCTCTAGGGGTAAGTTATAAAAATTGAGGATTTCTTCAGGGGTAGAGTGAAAAAATATGGAATTCTTTGGGGGTGAAGCCTTAATTTTCACAAAATTCTTCACGGGTATGACCCAATTCTTCGGGGGTAAGCCCACATTTTAGGGGTGAATGCAATTTTAGCCATTCTTAAGGGGTAAGAAGAAAAGGTAAGTCCTCAACCGGGGGGTATGGATTTTAAATGCAATAGCCCATTCCCCGAGGGTGTCCGCTTAACACAGGTTTCATTGTACCTATAATATATACTAAAATATATGCCTTCTATGTCTGTCTTATACTTATGTCTTATATCTTTCTCGTTCTCTAAACACTTGTCATGACTAGCAATTAAGGCCTTAAAATACGGCCCTGTATTCTGTAGTTGCTCCTATATTTTTTCATGTGGTTTTGATAAAAGCTCACCACATAACGACTTAAATCAATTTAACATCTATCTTGAACTAGCAATAAAGGCTTAAATCAACCTTATGATCGATACCTGTATAATCACGTGGCCACAATTCTTAGCTTAAAAGCACAGGAACACGTAAGCTTGGGTATTTTAATCGTATTCGAAACAAATATGAAGAGCCGGTAGCGATGAAATCGTATTTTTCACTACAAGTAAGCACTGAAAAGCCCAAAACCCTCTCGAAAAGCTGAAAAAGCTAAAATCAGCTAACAAATGATCAAAATTAAAGCTTCTTAAAATGGCGGACAGGAGTACGAGAGGATTACTGCTTTGTTTCAAACCTTTTTGATTTCTAAATAGGTGCAAGACAATGCCTTATGAAGTAGATGAAAACTATTTCTTACCATTAGCTCTTTTAAGGGCATTTTCTGGCCGCTGAAAGTAGACCGGCATGGTGAAATACCTCACGCCGCCTCTTTTCACGATTCACCAAGAAGAGAAAAAGGTGCGCAAGGCATTGTGGTCATCTAGTTCTGGCCTCGTTTTCGTGGCAAAGGATCACGTGGTCTACAAGATGTTAGCCTAGGCCATTTGCACTAACAGGTCATGTGACATAGTTTTCATGAAAATGAAATTTATATGATTTTGCCTTCGAAAAACGATTAGTGGGTCATATCTTAAACAAAATAATAGTGATTTAGTTTTTCAAACCCGCACCATTTTCTTAAAATGAGTAAGTTCCTCGCTGGTCACGTGACCAAAATGTTATTTTTAAAATTATGAATTACTTCTTTCTGAACACAAGCTTTCCACTTAAACTTCAAGGAGGATGTTGAAAAAATGATGTGGTAACGTTTACAGCAAATCTGAGTGCAACTATCAAACGTTTAACAAGATATAAGCCAAAAGATAGTTTTGGCTGCCATATTGGAGGGCAAGAGTATGCCCTCCAACATGGCGGCCAATACAAATCATACTACTTAGTTGAAAAATCAAAGTGCCATACAATATCTCCCTTAAATGCGTTTCCTTTCAAACTTCGGGTGTAAGCTAATTTTTATGTGCTCTGTCAATTTTTGGCATCAGCAAGATTCCAACTCATTGTTTAAAGGAAGCATTAGTCACGTGACCTCTTAGTGCAAGTGGCCTATAGCCATGGGGACGAGGTTGTCTTCGCCACTCCCCCATCGTTTTCTCGTTTGACATCGGTATATCACGCCCCCACCCCCCCAAAAACAAACAAACAAACAAACAACAACAACAAATCGCCTGCTACGTACGTGCAGGCTACGACAAGGCCAGAAGAAAAGATCTGGTATCTTTGTGTCGAACACAAACCCATCACAGAGCAAGTTTCAACTCACATTAAAGGGAACCTTTAAGTTATCATTGTTTTTTTTCTTTGAAACTTTTATCTGTATTACTTATTAGCTGGCGACAATAGACTTCTAGGAGTCACTTAAGGGTGACCACACCTGTCTTTTTAAGTGAAGCCTTCCCAACCTCGTCCCCAGGGCTTTTCCCTCAAAAAATGGGTGGGGAAAAGCCCTGGGGACGAGGTTGAGGCCTTCCCTTTCCGAATTTTTCGTGTTCGAGGTTTTTGTTTCTGCTGGTTGCTGGTATCAGAAGCGAATCCCGTTCATGGTCCTCACATCACTCTCTAGACATTGGGAAAAAGTCGTTTTATGAGCAAAACAACAGCCGTGCTCAATACACGACAGACCATCGTTTTCCATTTTGTACTTGGATACAAGCTAGGACATAGTTGCACATATCGACAGATAGCGTTGAATTACCGTGTTTATTCGATTAAAGCAACCAACCTCAAACTAGCGCCCACCTCGAATAAGCGCCCATGGAAGGAAAATTCAAGGAGCGCCCACCCACACCCACAACCTTCCCCACCCCCTCGCCCCATACAACTACAACAAAATCAACAAAAACTGCAGTGGACAAGAAGAGTTGGTTGTTTGTGCCCTATCTGCACCCTACCGATCCGCTGTTCCTGTGTTCCTACTGATCCTCTTTTCCTGCTGATCCTACCGACCCTGTGTTCCTATTCTGTACCCTCATTCTAACTATTTTCCTATGACGTCAGTCAGGTCGTCGTACACAAGCCATAAGCCTCTCGGATGACTCATTTGCAGATGTTACGCTGTGAGACATGTACGAGGCAACACCAGAGAGTTCGCTTAATGATCTAACTGACAATGAGAGAAATTGACTAGGTACAGTGCTACTAAGAGATTTCCCCGAATACCGACATGTTCAGGATATATTTTTTTTAAAAAACTTTCAATTAACAGTTCAAATTCTGCTCCGGCACATCTTTACGTTTTGTTATTATTCACTGCTTTGTTGGAAAATTAACTTACTGTTCACAGTCCTCAATTTTTCTGTAAGAGATCGAGCCGAGATCGAGCGCTTTGCGTCACGGTTTGCCAAAACTAATTGGGGGTGGGGGCAGTTTGGGACAGCTGTAATCCCCGACGCCCGCCCCCTCTGTAGACTCGGTACATTTGAAAATCAAAGTGGTGGGAAGACGCGCTATATCTTGATGATCTAATCGAATAAACGGTACTATACTTTTCAATAACGCAAACTCTCAAACGCCAACTAACGTCAGTCATCTTAATTAGCGGACCCTAGATGTTCATGATTTGTGACCCATTGGTGATTGCTAGATTTCGATGCATTTCTGGTGTTATTGAAAAGCACAGTAACGTCTGGAACAGGCTGATACTCCTTAAGAATTCAACTTCAAGGAACCCTGCCTACATGTGACAAATTCACCGAGGTTAAATAACGCGATGACGTTTGAAACAACCCAAATCCACTTTTTAGAGACGTCCTCGTGACTGGTAAAGGTCTCTATTGACCACTCCAGAAAATACCACAACAAACCATAACGCTCTTTGTTTGTCACCCCAAAATTTTGCATAAGCATTGTTTTCAGTTTCTCTCAGGGCCATTTAACCCCCTAGAGAAACTGAAGACAAAGCTTATGCAAAATTTGTTGTCTTTATAGCTAGTAGCGAATTCAGATCCAACCTCGTTCCCAGGATTCTCTCCTACCCGCGGAGAGAACCCTGGGAACGAGGTTGATTCAGATCCTTCAGGAAGTGGCTTGGAGCGAGGGTGCTGCTAATCCAGTTCCTAAGATAACAGGGGCCCCAGCATCGAAAATAATTTTCCTTGGCCCTGTGGTCTTCTTTTTCTGCGGGCTTGGGTCCCTCCCCTAGATCATTACCGGGAATGCTGGGGAATGCATGGACGGTAGGGAGGTTTGGACACCCCTGTTAATAAGGTCATTACTGTGTATGATCAGACCTAATAAACAAAAAGGAAAGAAAAGTTCACAAGCTATCAGCTCAGGAATCTTGAGACACAAGAGGAGATCTCAATCTACTGCTGTGGGTATTCACAGTTCAGTAGTACACAGATTTCCTGATCAATTTTTGTGAAGTGCACACCTGGAATGGGTTCAAATAAGCTGATTATATTACAGTACATGTATGTTAAGGGAACTAGCAACTCACCTAATAATTTTCAAGGTCTCCTTCAGAGAGTAGAGGAATGATCAAGGTTAGAGCCAGCTTAAGAAAATGTAAATACAAGCATTTGGTTGATTCATCTACCTTTTAATAGATCTTATGATCACACAAATCGTACTCTTAGAATAAATCAATTTTTCCACTAGATGTTGACATGATGGTCTAAAATATTAAATCTATTAAATAAGAAAGAGATTGTAATGAAAAAATGTTGGCAAAACATAATCATATAATTAAAAAAATAATAATTTTCAAACTTATCATTGTTTTGATTGAAAACAATGGTTAAAAATTAAAATACAAAGTTGAAGAAAAAATCATTTCTTCTCATCCTCTTTCAGTTTGGATACTGACTTGAGTTATAAATTTATTAGTCTGCAAATACAGCCGCCTCTCCTCTCCCTAGCAACAGGGTGCCATAAGTGCTGGCTTTATTCACAGGCTATACATTTTCATATCTTTATATATCTTTTTAAATCTCATTTTAATGGTAAAAATTTCATAATTATTTAAATATATCATAATAATAATAATAATCAAAAAATAATTATCATAAGATTTTGGGATTATGCTCTAGCTCTCTGTCTGTTTCCTTACAGCTGCAGAATGGAAAATTACAACACATTTGCAACCAAGGTTTAAAGATGTTTTTATGCCGTTCCAATTGATTGGGGACTATTTTAATGCTTGCTTTGTGTTTTTTGAGCATAGGGTAAATCTGCTTTATTACCTCCTGGTACAATGCTGTGTCTGCTCCAATAGGGGAACTCTCAGATGGATCATTTGTGATGTCAAAAAGCAGAGGTGAATCATGAATGGTTACATATTTACCATGACAGTTACAAACACCCTGACCAATGCATGCTTCAGTTCCCTTTGTCCACTTAGGGGTCATGAAGTGTGCTTTCCACACAACATTGCTATTCTTGGGATTGTAGCGGACAGCGTGAACTTGATTGCCACAATAGTGAAAAATAAATTCATGGGATGATGGCTGCCCTTTGTTTGTTACAAGTGGTAAGAGATCTTTACCATCAACTGTTCTGTCCTGTGGAACATCTCCACCAACTAGTTTCGCAACTGTGGGTAACAAGTCCATGGTACTAGTGAGCTGGTCAAGTGAGATTCCAGGGGTGATATGTCCTGGCCATGATACTATTGTAGGCACTCTAACACCACCTTCCCAACACTGCCCTTTGCCTGTGAAGAAAGTAACCTTATATTATGACAGATTCGATGTACACAGCATTAATACGCCAATTCAGGAAAAAAGCAGAAGTTGCATGGAAGTGAGGCCTAAGGGCCCTCATACTCAAAATGGCGATGTAACAACAAGATTCTTGTGAGCAAAATAAGACAAGTGCTGCACCCACATAAAATAATCGAAGTGAAATTGGCCGGATCTCACCTATATACCAAAAAAGTTTCATCAGATCCTGAATCAAGTAGAAGATGGGAAAAAGGAATATAATTGTTGTTCAGAGCATTTCGTACTAAACGATTACAGAATTAGTCTCACCGGACATAGAAAGTCGACCTAAAACAGGAGGCATCCCTTACTGTTTCTGCTTGGTCTTCAGCCAAATCAAATGTTAAAGAATAACGGGGACATAGGGAAAAGTATCCCATGAGAAAAAAAGGTCAGAAGAATCGTCATTGAGCGATAAAGTACAAGCTGTTAATTTATAGGTCTTCCAGTGATCGAACAATTTGCTGAAGTGAAATGTTTAGAATCAGAAATCCTTAAAAAATAACTTCCTAAAGCAAGGAAGAAGGAATAAGTTTTCCGTTCGGTCTGAACGCGTTTTGTAAAACCTAGATGATATCCCAGGCCCAGGGATGATGTTCACTTAGTCTACACTGGGTTTCAAGATTATGAAACTTATACTTAGAACCAAGCGTTTCCCGTCTAACTTATTACACCAGTGTGAGAGATGCCACTCAAGTGAATACTGATGATGTTCTCCATTCATAAATACACCTGGAAAAAATATTTTTCAAATTTTTACTTTTGGGGGGGAAGGGAATGGATATAAAGTATAATATCACACACAATTAATAGTTAGTGTGCAAACATTTAATTTGTTACAGGTTGTGAGACATGATAGATTATAATAAGGGATTCTTCACATGTAGGATGAGAGTGAATAAAAGACCTGTGCTAACAATAACCCAAGCCGACTTTCTTGGTTTACAAAAACTATTTTAACTTGAGGTCATACCACAGACCAAACTTGAGCCTGGGGTATGCTAATTTGGGTAAAATGTATTGGTCATAAAAGTTCTAAAGGTGTACTAATTTCTCTTCCATGATGCCATAATAAAAGGTACCTGTTGCTGAAACAATTCCCTGTTGATCCATGCTGAAGGGCTGATCTATCAAATGATTTGTGTTCAAGTTCAGGTCAATTACAGTATCTGTATTGTTGACTGTGTTCAATTGGCTCAGTGAGACAAGATTGTATTTTTCTGACACATGAGATCTTGAAACTGATTTGTGGTCGCATCAACTATTGTCTGTATTGTCGGCTGTGCTTGTTAAATTGACTTGAGACACTGTTGTGTTTGTTAAACATGGATTTGGTTGGAGAACAGAAGTATATAATATACTGTTGTCTGTAGAAGAAACAGATGTGAGTAAAATCTTTCATTTGCATTTGTAGAGCAGTTCCTTTAGCAGCAATTTCAATTAGGGAATTCACAAGTGTTATATCAGAAGCATTGGGATTCACCTTTTAGAAGGGAAGACCTTTTAACTCTGACAATGTTCACTTTGAGTTTTTCAACAGCCTAGGGGTCTAAGTTTCTCAAGTTCGAAGGACAGGGATCATAAAAAGTAGACAACACGCCCCTCCTCTTATGACCTGGTGTGTCTGGTGGATGCCTTGGCTTGATAAGCTTTAAGGTCATGATTGACCGCTAATGTTCCACTGTTCGTCTACCTGGAATTTGCCGTTTTCTTGGCTAAGAAGTGCAACGAATGTCATTCTCGCATTGATTTTTCATTTCATTGTTCCATGACATTTCATCTAATTTCCATTCAACTGCCACGACATGGCAACTGCTGCCGCTCCTACCAGCAGGACATAATAAATCACACGTGCCTAGCATAAGTTTGGGTTTTTCAACTGGGTTATCAATCATACGTGCTTTATATTTGACACAATATTTTTTGTAGGAGGCACAACACAAAGCCCTGGTCTAATGTAAACAATGTCATTATCAACAGGTTTAGATACTTCATGATCAAGATTATGTACAACATTTAAATTTTACGCAATGGCATACGAGAGAGAGATTTTTTCAGTAATTTTGCTACAATCCCTTAGGGTGATCTAGGGTATCGGTCAGTGGAACAACTCTGAGTATTGACACGGTATAAAGCTTATCTTGTTGTGGCGTGGTATCCAGCTCGCTTTTTTTAATTTTCTGGAGTTGGGCCTCGTGAAGCCTTTGCCTGGGTCAGGATCATGAACTTTATCTCTATTTTCAGACATAACATTAACATTCTCTGTGGGCCAAGAAACAATTGAATTTATCGCGGTATCTTTCAGTCTGTTTGGAACAGGAACTTAACTTTTGTAAAGGACTTTCCACCGCCGTGGTTTATTCTTCTACATTACCTGGTTTACTATTAACCTGTAAATTTTTAAGCTCCCGTTCTTTCCTCGGGTGTCAATTTGACAACTTCAATATTTACTTGCTCCATCTTGAAACTTTTTTCGACAACCATTTGTTTTTAGCCCCAGGCGTCGCATAGGCTGACGGGCCCTTAGGCCTCGCTTCCATGCAACTTCCGGTTTTTTCCTGAATCGACGTATGTAATGATAACAAAGATGAGTGTGTGAGGTTGTGGGCTCCTGGCATCACCAGCATTATAAACACTCAGGGTCTAAATCTAAAGATGAAGGTACACTGTACTGTTATAAAAAAAACTTAAATGTGCAAACATGGTTTTGAGAATCAAATTTTTTTGCATTGTGCTTCGCTGTATTAGGTGTTATTTACAGAAGCCTATCCCTGTAGCTAGCTGTGCACTAAACATTCACACAGTCTTACAAAATCCAATTGCTTAATTCTTGTACCTACTAATTTCCAGGCATTATAAACTGTTTACATGATTTTTCCAAGTTTAAATGTTCATAGATACAATATACTTCAATTTTTTAACATGACTTTCGGCAGGCTCCTGTGTTGGGGTTTTATGGTTGATTTTGCATCAGCACTGGGCAAGGCATTACCACCCAGACGGGAAGGATTACCTCATAGGTTCTTTCTTATCTAATTTTCGTATGAGAGTTTTGAGGATTTTCCCCAATGAAACCCACAGCTTGCACCATTCACAAAAAACTGCACAAACCTATCTTGATGTGACTATTATTAGTTTTCTATCATTAATTTTCTCAGATTTTCAAATTTCTTATGATCTAATGGCTATGAGTTTTATCTTTGATGGTGTACAACTGTGAAAACCACTACCATAATATTAATGACATTAATAAAATTATAAACTTGCACCCTGTTTCTCTGTTTTTTTTTTCAAATCTTACCTCCTCTGTAAATACCCTTCCATCCACCTTCATATTCACCTGTCAATGGATTAACTTCCTCCAAGTGTGGACCATTGTCAGATGTAAAATAAACAAACGTGTCTTCCTTTAAACCAAGTTCCTCAACTACAGCCATTATCTGGCCAACACTCCAGTCCATTTCCTCAACATTATCACCATAGCTACCATGGATGCTGTGATTGACAAATCGTTCAGTATTAAACAGAGCAGTGTGAACTTTGGCATAAGACATGTAAAGCAGAAAGGGACCATCTTTGTTTGAGCGGATAAAGTTCATGGCTTCATCTGTAAACCTCATTGTCAAATTTTCCAAAATAGTAGGCTGCTCTACAACATCGTAGTTTTTCATTACAAAGCAGTTGAATACTGCAAACATACTTAGAATGACACAAAGAGCAAAGGCAGTGGACACAATTAATGTGAGAAGAAAATAGAAAACACACTTGCCTAGTACACCAGTTAGGTAACAAATATGCAGCGTAACTCCAATAATTGTGGCAGCAATAAGGATATTGGTGGGTCTGAACCCTGGAATGACAAGCTCTACAACATAATTCCCTGGGTCACAATCTCGTAAGTTTGTTAGCGGCAATCCATAAAAGTAATGGAAACCATGCTTAAGTGGGTGAAAATGGAAATCTGATGAAGAGGAAGAATGCAGTCCCAGGTGCCACTTTCCAATCATACCTATAACAAACAAAGATGCAAAGAAACAATGCAATAAACATTTTAATACGTATGGGCTTCTGATAAAACTTTACATTTATGAGATTGACGTTGTTTCTTAAAACGCCTTACTGAAAAAACATATGTTTTGTCTCTATTTCAGACTTGCCTTGTCTCAAGACTTTGTTGTTGGTCTCATGATTTTAGGACCTCTCTCAAGCCAAGCTCTAAAAAAATTTGGAGCTGTAGAATTCGTTTCCAATTTATGTAGATAGCCAGCTCAACCCAAAGAAAACGCTTAGCGGTCATGTTTGATCACATATTTCTTTTAGCCTACCGTTACTTGCTACTGCCACCAAACGTGCAGACTTCCAGTTTCTCTTGTTTCAAGATGATGCCAACAAAACACAGAAATTACAAAATCCAATCATAAAATTGATCTTGATGTTTACTACTCCAGCTTAAGTGATGTAGTGACTTCCAATAACCATAATCTTGACTAAAATGCCTTCCACTTGGAAATTTGGGACATCGCACAACTTTTTACCCATTTCTCACTACTTTTCCTGGCCCTAGGTTCAGAATCTCACTTCTTTTGCCTTTTGGGGGTTGGCAAGTCTGCTATTTATCAAACAGGATCCAGATAAATTGGTAGCAACAACAAGGCTAAACTCTAGCAGAGCCCAGTGGCCCTTGGCGCATAACTTTTGATCTTGGGCAACTAGAAAATCTTACGTTTTTTAACAAATCATATGCTGGGCACCCTAGATTTTACCAGTTTAGAACACAGGGCTCTGTTCAATTTTCCTTAGAGCACAGCCTTGAATACAATACGATTTTGTGCAAAAACAGGGTTTAGGGTCAGGGCCTCGGTGGCATCACCCTACTCCTTGTACTCATTGCCAACCCCACTTATACCCCATCAAGCCAAATTTTTTTAAAACTCAAAAATTGGAAGGCAAGCAGCCAAGGTCACCTTGCCCTCCTTACATTATCCCCATTTTATCCTTATGAACTTTATTTTTTCCTGATTTTGCAGTCGCAGAGCTCGGCTGAATCTTCTTGCTGCGGAAATAAAAGACAGGCGAGTAAAATGAGATCATCTAACCTGTTTTGTAACCAGCAGCAGATGCAATTTCAGCAAACGTAGTTTCATTTTGGGGTAATCCACCAGATGCAGCCGTGAAAATAAACACTCTTACTTGCCCACGATCGGAAGCAATTCCTGATCTGACTGGATACCTTCCTGTTAAAATTGCAGCTCTGTTCGGCGTGCAAACGGAATCCGGATGAACATCTTGCAGCAAGCGAGCACCTTGTGCAGCTAACCGATCAATGTTGGGTGTTTTGATCGTGTCGTTTCCAAAACAGCCAACATCTGCGATTCCCAAGTCGTCCACGACAAATAATAGAACGTTTGGTGGCCTTGCAGAAGCAAAGTTAAGCACGAAAAACTGCAAAATAAAGCCGCCCCAGAGACGTCCCATTGCAGCACACTGTACCCATGTGCTGACACTCTTCCCTCACAGCTGACTCCCTGGAGCCTGGTACAAACTGTTGCGTTGCGCGCTCTCTCGCGCGCTCCAGGTCACCCCAGCCCAAGTTCGAAATATGAACATCGGCGAACATCGGAGAGAGAAAACCGTTACAACCCATAAATCGGCCCATGGACCACACGGGAGAGACGTAAGACACATTTTATGTAAGGTTTGCTGTTTTTTATTAAAATTCTTTCATTTTCGTACGTTTCAGAAACGATAGGTTTTTTTCCCCTTACAAATCCTTTTACTTCGAATCTTGCGCAACAATGCCGATTTTCGCCGACGCTTGCCGACGCTCATATTTCGAGCTTGGGCTACCTGTTGCGACAACTGACGAAGGATCAGGGACCCATGCATCACGCTTTTCATTGCCGGCTGCACAACTTCCTCATCAAGCATCAGGTCATGAAAGGGTAGGGATTTCATTAGTTGAAAAGGGTAGAGTAATAAATCTGTCCTTTCGGTCTGTAAAAAGTCCCAAGAGTGGTGCAGATGCGAGTTATGGCTGTGAAAAAGTCGAGAAAACGTTTGGTTATGTGTTTTTTGTCACATTTTAAATGCATTTACAGCAGTTAAGAGGGATGCGAAGTCCTGAACTAGGTTTGTGAAAGGGGTACCATTTGTCAATAGAAGGTACAGTATGTTGCCCAGTATCCGGATAAGATTGCAATAACTTTCCTTTGTTAATCGCAAGAACTCTGAAATTTGGCCCAGAGAAAATCTATCTTGTCCTTAATATGACGAAAGGCAGTTTAACTTTTTTGCCTTTGTTTCCATCGCGAAATTAATATTTTTGCAGAGCTCCTATGTTGCCCAGTATCCGGACAGCTGGCCCAGTATCCAGACACAACAATAACAACGTAAATGAAAGTGAAGAATGATCATCGCAGTAAATTTTCCAATTTAAGCAATTGGAAAGAAGAAGCCTGAAAAAAAATCAGGGCTTCAACGGGATTCGAACCCGTGACCTCCGCGTTGCCGGTGCGTTGCTCTACCAACTGAGCTATGAAGCCACACATTGGGAGCGAGGTCAATTCATTGAGTTCATATCTCCCGTGAGGAGTGAAATGATGTGAAGTACATAAATTTCGACAGGCAAGCGACTTATAAGCTTCTCTTGCACTTGCGAAGTAGTCTGGCAATCGATTCCAAAAATATAACCTAGGATCGTGAAATAAAACATAACAAATGTATGGTGGGGAACGCGAGCGGCTGTTTCAAAAATGGTGTGATTCTTACTTCCTTGTCTAGGAACTTTTTCACTGATTTAAGGAAGGCATCCGTGGACATGCCGAAGCCGCAGTTTGCAAGCTTAATTAGCCAATCTGCAAACTACTTTCTTTCCTCATTTTTTTTTAAAAAAAAAAAGCTTGGGGAAGGGACCTCAACCCGACGGTCAAAGGTCACTCTCCTATTTAGTCTGACCTGGAGTGTTGATTTCTTCATGCTCAGTCCCCACAATAAGCCTGCTTTTCTAGCACTAATTCCTCCTTCTTTCACATCTCTCAATCCCTTTGCGACATTTTTCAGACTGTTGCAACCCCATTCTAGCAGTCACAAGTAGGGAAAGTATGAGAATTCCAGGTTCAACTCAGACGCTTTCAGTTATATATAGAAAATGCAGTCACGCGAAACAAGCCGTGCACACGAAATCAAGTCGCCTCTGAATGAGTGAAGAAAATTAGTATAAATTATAGTTACTGATACGGAGTTGAGTAGAATTACATTTTACGACTATATCATATATCCTAAGCTTTAATTATAGTTACTAATATGAAATAAATCTTAACCGGATAATGTACACAGCTAATTCCTCGATTCTGTACAGCAAAGAAAAAACTGTCCGGATACTGGGCACATGACATCCAAACTTAGTGAATGTTTCTGGCCTCCGTTATTTCAAACAAATCGAATCTCAAGAAGAATTAATAAACTTTCTGAAAACCTGACTTCCTTAAGTATCTTCACTTTAAAAATAAAACAGTTTCTTTCGAAAATATCACACATTACCCTCCCTTTTCTGAGCAGTACTAATTTTACTGCGCAGTAAACAGCGTAAATATCAGCCATGAAAAGTTTACTCACCTGAACAGAACGGCGTCTTCTGCGACTGTTTCGCAAGTGTTCAAATCGCCAAAACTTTCATCTTAAAGCTGAAATGTTCAGCTTTGATTCGAAATACTTCGTTTACCGAGAACTGAAAAGGGCGCCTCAAAAATTGAGTTTTTGTTTCAAGTGTCCGGATACTGGGCAACATGCTGTATACAAAAGAACACCTTCTCTGTCAAACATGGTAAATAAATAGAGGGGTTTGTCCTCGGGGCGGAACCTCCCAGTATAAAACATTGTTAAGTACTCCCGCCGGGTGCTTAAACGGAGACTATGATTCATAAGTAAGTTGAGTATGATCGTCCGAGTGAGTGTAGCTGACCGTTCGACAACCTGTGGGGTAGCCAGCTGCAGAGTCAAACGTGGTGTCTGGTCCTGCGGACACTTTTCGCGTCTTCGGAAAGAGGGTCCCCAAAGCGGGCGCTGTAGATGTCACCAGCGGGATCGCGGGGAATTTCGCTTCACAAGTCCACTCAAGTAGACTAGGGGAATTAATGATAAATAAAGTCTACTTTATTTCAGTAAAAGTTTGTTCCGGTTTTTGAATTTGAGTAATTTGGATCAGAAAAAAAGAGTCACTGACACGTAAATAAGCCAGTTCGCTATTTTCTATGGTTTTCACCAAAAAACTATTTCAAAAGAACGCCGCTAAAAGAGTAAATCTTAGGTAAGTTCGCAAAAATAGTATACTCAATTTTGTTGCATATGACCATTTTCGGTTAGAGAAGTTGTGTTTCCTCATAAGGTAACACGGCTAGTGCGCGTAGTTGTTTTTGATCCATACTCGGAGACAGTAAATACTGAATACTAAACACTGGCACAAAGGGAGTCCTAGAAAGAATAAGCATAACTGAGCTACAGCGGAGTAAACTGGTCTCCCTGTGTAGTCTGTCACAGGATAAATATACTTTGCCCCACTTGGACTTGTTCCACCGTATGCCCAATAAACAACCGTAAACAAAGCGTAAGTAGTTGTATAGAGCATTGGATAAACAATATGAAGTAGGCGCACGGGTACTGAGCTAAGCATGGTATCAGCGACTATTACGAAAGAATTAACTGCGTGAATGATAATGGTAATAACGCTTATTTGGTTGTTCAGTGTTTTATAGATCAACGACCAGAAGGAGATGGTCACGAGGATGGCGGCTACCGAAGCAATGTCGTATATTACCCACAATGCTTGGTGAAACCAACTCATCGGTGTGGACTGTAACACTTCAGGGGCGTCTCCAGCCAACAGCATTTCTTCATCGTCACACAGAGGGTTGGCTACCAAATAATCACGTGCTTCATCACGTGTACTTGCGTTAGCACTGCGATAGTCTCGTTGCGAGGCGACGCCGTTCCATTCGTTTTCTTGCTGCTTGCGGTCTTTCTTGTAGTGGATGGCCGTTACGATAGTTGCACAAATGAAATACAGGGTGACAAACAGGAAAGTCCAGTTACTGAGGAAACTAAACCACTTTTCACGGGTGTCTGGATAACGAACTCCACCTGCTATTATCCCACCAGTACAGAAGATGGCGATGGCAAGCCGATACAGCAATACAAACAACACACCAAACCACTGAAAGCAGAGAGAAATAATCAAATAGTACTGAATAAAACGTATTACAGTAAGAATGTAATGTAAATTCTGGGGTACTTTTCTCCTCGAGGCTAAATATGTCAAACTAGAATCTGGCCCTTTTTTTGAGTGTGTTATAATGATAATGTAATGATGATGTCGATACATATCCCTGCACCATTTGGGGGAGCAGGCGCGGATCCAGGATTTTGAAATGGGGGGGGTGAATTTTTGTAATAATGTAATAGAACCAAAGCCTAGTTGAGGTGTTTGAGGTCTGTGCATCAGCATGATTGATTTCCGATGAATAGCAATAAAAGGGGGTGGTAGGCCTACCCGACTTTTACCTCATGCCAAAATGCCGCTGATTCCAGTAAAATTGTTTTTATCTGCTGGGTAGATTATGCTCTGGAAGGTTCTGCATTTATACTGACCAAATGTGATTTTAGCCGCATGGTTCACACTGAGAGGTCGTGACATACATATCGATTGACTGTAGTTATTGTTTTCTGGTCGGCAGGATTTGCCCTCTGATGCAAACGCATTTTCTTTGACCTCTTTTGAAGCGTAAAGGTTTTTTATTGCGGCTGAAAAAGGGTTCTGAAAAAGGGTTCTGGATCTGAATAATTAAGCGATTTTCTCTAGTCCGTGAGTGTAATGTTTTTCTGCAATGCTGTATCACGCTGGGCCCAGCTCGTCAGTATTCTTTGCAGAATGTTAAATTATCAAGGATAGTGACTTACAGATCCAAAATTATAAGAGTGAACTGCAGCCTAAACTGAAGCTACATAAATTTACCATGGAGAATTGAAATGTGACTCAGTAAACTCCAGCTTGGTGTTTTCTAAAGATAGTGTGAGTCTTTTGACTGGAGCGCGTAGTTCCTCTCTTGGTAATAGCTTTGAGTAAGCTTAACAGTCCTTAAACTGTTTTGTTATTGCCACAGTTTGTGATCAGGCAAGACCATGGTTTCGGTTCTCCACACGAACCTCATCAGTTGCCGGGTTGGCTTTGTGCTTAGTTGCTTTTGCAAGAGCAACTTTGAGGGATAAGAAAACAAAAAAAAAAAAGAAAGAAGGGGGCTCAGAAAAAAGGGGGGGTGAAAATTCACCCATTTTACCTCTCCTGGATCCGCGCCTGGGGAGGAGGGGAACTTTGTAAAGCCATTGACCCTTCATCTTTCTTTGATTAAAGTGTTACTGTTCGAATGAGGCGAGGAAGTCTGCCCGGTGATATGGTCTACCCACCTCTGATGTCAGTTCATGCCACACAAATATCAAGGGCTCAGTGTGCGCATAAGCTCGGGGGACTGGTGGCAGCAGGCAGAAGAGGCGCTGGGCCGCTAGCTGCCGGACGGAGCTAATAACTGCTCATATAGACATTAACCCTTTGGTGACGGCCAGCAAGTAGCGAATAAACCGCATGTGACTTTTCATCAATTCTCCATTTTTGGACTAGCTTTCGGCTAATTAGCATAAGAATGGCTAAAAATGAGTTTTACAAGAAAAGGCATACTTTCCGACTAATCTGACTTAATTAAACAGCTTTTTGTTTTTCACGCATGCGCAAAAGCCAAAATTTGGACTTTTTTTTTGCGAATCTGCTTCCATCTTTCTCTCTTGCACTCTTTTTTTCCTTTGCCTTTCTTCTTTATTAGCGATTTTGTTGCCCACTTTATCGTCTTTCTTTTTCATGGAATTGTGGCTGGCTAACTTCTAAGGAAAGGGACAGATTTAATTTTCAAAGAGTAGTATGTAAAGAGCGAAATTGGAGGTGGATTTTTCCCTTAAATGTTACCTTTTTTAGTGAGGGTAACTCTGTCAGGATTGGTCAGAATATCCAAAACGAGGTATCGCTGGAAATGTTGCGGAATTCTTTAAACCCCGCTCCGCTGGTTCAAACAAATCAAGAGGACTGTATCTTTCGATGTAACAACACGATTTAATGCAATCCAACAACTACTATGTACAATTCTCACATATTCAACGGTCGTAACACAACGATCAACGTAACTAAACGATCAACGACGTTGTTGCTTACTAATTTATTAAAGTTGAATGGGTCCAGGAAGGAAAACTTCACTCATACAGAACGAATTCTGCTCGAATGAAGGGGTAGCTTTTTCAGGTTTCAAGTACATAAAAGGATAGGGGAATCGCCTGTGCATTAAGGGTAAGAAAATTTGTCATTGGGGTATCTAAAAGGGCACGCCGCGACGTGAAGGCAACTTGCGGTATAGTCCTCATTTTCCTCAAGGGTGGGGTAGGCGAGCCTGCTCTCATCACGCAAGGTGATTTAAGTATTTTGGTCTCGTGGTGATTTCACGCGAGCTCGAGTAGTTTGCTCACTACGACTATTCCCGGGACTATTCGACACCTACTTCCGCGGGAGGCCTGACTTCTGGTAATGCTTGAACCGTAATATTTCACTGCAATGGTTTAGAAAGGGAGTTCTTTCTGTGGAGGCTATACGGACAGTTGTATAGTTATAAAAGAGAAACGGGCTGGACATTTGGGCAGAGCTACCCCTAGTAAAATTTTCGTGATTAAACCCCCCCCCCCCCCCCCCCGCCGCCACCTCCGGCTGCCTGAAAAGCAAGAGTAACATGATCGAACATAGGCTACGCAACGTTTCAAACTCTATTAAATAAAAAAGTCGACCTCTTCAGAAGTCTTTATATATCCCAATTCTCAACAAAATACAAATAGGCATGACAAAATAATGTCTTTAAATGACCTCGCAACCTCGCGATAAGATCAAAATAAACTATAGGGCAAAGAGAAGAGGCTAGACCTTCCCACAAAGTATTCTACAGGTGTTTGCAAAATCCAAGGTTAGTTTCCTCGCTTTCCTGCATTAGATAGAGGTCCTTGTGGGAAACTGATATGTAATATAAGAATAATAATCCAGGTTGTAAGCTATCCTGGGAAGCTCATTTTTCAAAACCACAAACTCAGTCAGTAATTCACATGAATTCAAGTAAGGTTTGAATTTGTGTCGGTCCATGTGAACCATGTGATGCGTATCAAGAAGTTATTTATTACAGTATTCCTTTGATGAATACATTACGTAATTAAAACCAGGCATTTACTACTGCAGTATGCCCGTAATTTTGCAGTGAAAAGGGCCGTGCATTCCTAATTTATAGTACAAAAAAGGTAATACAAAGCTGTGATTTATACTGTAAAAACTTACAGGAGATTCCGCGAAGTGTGCTGGGTTTGGATATCGCAAACGAAGTTGATCAAGGTTAAATTCATTGCGAAGCAGGCTCCAACACATTTTCGGCTACTAATTGGTGCTGTTCGTCTGTATTCATGTGATGTCACATACTATCCATTGGAGATGAGCGAAGCGAACCTTGGACACACATGGATGTCACATGAGAAAGAAAAAGACTTGTGCGTTCACTTTCCCCTCCCTCACGTGTCCCGTGTTGTCTCAGATATTGCGTGCCCGTCAAGGTCACCAGGAGGTCCTTGGATACTGTTGTCAAATATTTGGCATATATTGATATTTCAGTAGAATAACAGCTCTGCAAATCATACAAAAGCCCGCTGGCTATAAAACAGCTCGTAATCCACTAGGCAATCGAAAATGGCTGGTTGGAGTATTCTTCGGAAAGAGTTTCGTCTTGTTCAGTTCCGTTTGCTTTATCCAAATTCAGCGGACTTCGCAGAATCGCCGGTAAGTTTCAGTACTGAGGCATTTACTTTTGACTGCGATGACACAGCATTACTGTCAGTCTACTAGTATTTTACTAAACGCTAAATTTTTGTTCAAGTTTTCTTAGACTCTGAAGGTGACTCGCACCGTACAGGTGTACACACCAGATTAACGACAGTTCTATTCAGAACTACACTCACCCAGGCGATTCAAAGTACCCACTTTCGTGACATGATTCAGTTGGCTCAAACAATTTACTTTGTGATTCTTTAGGTTAGTGTTCTAGGTTTCGATGTAATCCTTTGCATGACATTTGAACTTCTCGCTATTTTTTTTCGTGTAATCACGGACAAACCGACGCCCCTGCTTGTACTGGGTAATGTCGTTGTAGAGTCACTGAATTATACAACGAAAGCTGAAACAGACTGCGTACAAATTAAGAATTTCTGCAGTAACAGTATAATGACAGTAATTTAGAAGAAAGCTATGATCGGACTACCGTCGAACATGGCAAAAACGGAATATTGTAGATAAGAGTTCAGAGAGATTAGAGCCGGGTTGAATAGGTCCTAAACAGACCTCTATTCATAGCAGCCATCGGCAAAATACAAGAATTGAAAAATCGGAAATGTAAACAAACGAAAATTCAAATACATGAAAATTTATCACGCTCCAGCAGACAAAAACAAATATCAAGCCTTCAGTCGAAAGTTGACAGGAGCCGAGTCTAGCTTTTTCAACCAGCCTAAGTCAAAAAGCCAACTTCTAAATTTCCTCCGTGGTTCCAGTTCATTCCCTTTCTTGATACCCCCAAGTTTTAATTTCGCGAACTCGTGTATGGGAAGCATTGTAATTCTTGGTTCTCAAAAGGAGGCTAAGGTAAATTATTGCTTTGCCAAGGGTTTTAAGCTTCACTGAAGCTTAGCTCAATCGGTAGAGACCTTGCCTGGAGAGTGGGCCGCCGAAGGTCCCGGTCGCGATCCCTGCCGAATCGCTGGGACCAGACCAACAGTCATAAGTATCAACTGAGAAGTGAGGGCACGACTGCCTTTTCGAGTCTTTGCTCTCGCAAAAGGTTAGACTTTCGCGTGGCTCAGATAATGGCGGTCCTGTCCCCATAAGGAGATCTAAAAATAGTCAGTTCTCAATTAGTACTTTCGCGCTAATTTAGCTATTAAGGCGGCGTTTAAACCTCCAAATCTCTTTCTTAGGGGGTTAATTTAAGAAAATAAGTGCTTTTCCAGTCTACGCTATATGCTTTTTTGAAATTGTTTACGATAAACGGTGTTTAGATAAAAGCGTTTGGACAAACTGAAAATGGCTTAGAACGCGGTTTTGTCAAACACGGGCTAGACTCTGTTGAAATAACTGGCCCAGTTCTTTTAACGGCTTATCACCTAAAGGCACGTCCTTTATATCAGCCTTTCACAAAAAATACCCCTTTCAACCATATACCTAAACACAGAAACACTTAAGCAAACTTTCAGTTTACTTGACCTTTTATATTTATTGACCTTTTTAAAACCTCTTATAATGGACCCGCCATTCTGTCACTTCGAGATACGAGAAACCTCATTGAAATGCCCAATCTTTTATATACCACTAGTTACTATATTTACATTTTACCCTACATTTAGATTTTTTATTATACCACTAATGTTATTGATTTTTCCATATGCTTGTAATACCTGATGTTTGTATTACCGTGTATAAATAAGTCAAGTAAAGGTAAAGAAAGTAATGATGATGGTGGCGGTGACGAAAATGATGATGAACTAGCTCACAGGGTACCCCGTTTGGCTGGAGCATCCAGCTATAGTCCGGCATTATAGAAAACACCCCCTCCCCCGCCGCCACCGGGTAATACTCCCTATATTGGCCTAACAGTTTTTGGAAAGGATATAGTAATTCATAGCACTGCCTTATTCCTCCTCTTCCGCCCGGATAAAAAAGGTTATAAAGGTTAACTTCACAAACCCGTTCCACGTAAGTCGACATAAGCAGTCGGTTTTAGTGGGTAAACCGCATTATTACTGATTTACTGTAGTGGCTGAGTCACTGCAGTAAACTAGGTAAAATATCGTGATTCAGCTTGTTTCAGTTTTCCACACGAGTAGGCAAGGTATTCCTAATATCACGAGATATTAATAAACTTAACCAGGAGCGGCCTGAATTAACTTGCCGGGTATTTGATATAAAAACTGACAAGTAGTGCGATATATGCGGATTTATGAAGTGAGGAGAATATAGAGTCGAGTAGAAAACGAGGAGGATCAGGAAAAGTGAAATTCTAGCAATTTTCTAAAAAGTAGTACTCAGTGGCCCGCCAGCAAGCTCTCCTGGGGTTTTCCCTCCTTTTTTGCGCCGCCGCCAGAGCGCCCCGGGAGAGACGCAGTTCTCGCAGGCTAAGAAAGGAGAGACCCAGGGCATATTGCATTTTGTTCGTGTATTAATAAATTGAATACAAATCGCCTTGTTGGTTTTATTTGTTTACTCCCTCTTAGCCTCTGAGCTCCCCTGGTTTGAACTTATCATCATTAAAGCTCGACTACATATCTCAGTATTAATTAACCAACTGCCTTTTTTCCAGTGGTTTGGTGTGCTGTACGTTCTTCTCTATCGGTTCTTCATTGCTGTCTTCTGTACATGCGCAACTATATGGAGCGGGTTTTATTACCGTCACACTGGCGCCAAGTGGTTTATCTACCTCACAAACTGGAGCTTCTTTTGTGTTACTGTGTACTTCATTTGCGCCACGATAGTCACAGGCCTTCACTACAAAAACCAACTCAAGCAGCTGGTCAATACTGCCAACGACCAAAAGGACATTAAAAATGGCGTGGAAATGTCTGCCAAGAATGAAGACAACAAAAAAAGCGCATGCGAGCAAGGCAGTAACTTGGTAACCACTCCTGGCGATGGCGAAAGTGAAATAGGTTTCACTGGTTACGTCCTTGGAGCATCACAGGACACCCCGATGAGATGGTTTCACCAAGCATTATGGGTAATTTACAACATCGCAGTAGTAGCAGCCGTTTTGGTCACTATTACTTTCTGGTCTTTGATCTACGCATCATTCGGAGGAGGGAGAAGTCCGATCTCTGTTGTTTTCCACGCAGTTAATTCAGTTGTTATGGTCGCTGACACCATGCTCAGCTCGATTCCTGTTCGCTTATATCATTTTGTTTATCCGATGTTATACAGTATAACTTACATTTCATTTACAGTGATATACTGGGCGTGTGGTGGAATAAGTTCGCATGGGAACACATATATCTATCCCCAGACCGATTACTCTAGACCAGTTTTCTCAGCCATATCACTGGCATGCCTGGTGTTAATTGCTCTTCCCTTGTGTCATAGTTTGGTGTTCGGCTTGTACTGCCTACGGGTTTGGATCAAAACAAAGTGTAATAAAAAAGCGTAATCCAAAGGAATACGCAAACGTCTTAAGTTGCCTTCTCTTGGGCTAGAATAACTTATCTTGCGCGTTGGGCTTGATTTCCACTGTCCGGTCAGGTTTCCCTTAGCGGCTAGGGGTTAATCGAGCCTTCGAGCGCAAAGCCATGTGTAAAAAAGTTAAGGTGCATGAAAAGTCATAAAAGCGAAGATAGGTTATAGAGAATTGTGTAACATTTTTTTTATTGTTTATTGTATTTAAAGGCGTATTCTTGCCGAACGTTACTGTGTTACTGCTTGTTATTAAATAAACGTCGCATTACCTTACCTGCGGTAAACTGTCGCCCTTTACCTTAGAAGGGGCATTTCGAACGATTTTGAAGGATCCGCTAACCAGCAAACTAAAAACGCGTCCTTCAAAGCGCTCAAAATTTCTGGTGGAAAAGACACTTCTGTGGTCTACAGTTATAATAACGCTCTTCATGCTTTTACGTTTTAAGTTTTTTTTGAACTGCAAAAGGTTAGCAAAGGGCAAAGCTGCTTCAAACTTACGAAGGAACTTTTCGTCCCATGTAACGGAATTCGGATTTCGGATTGAAATTTTTGCTCGTGGAATCCGGAACCACGGAATATTTTGCTTATGGAATCAGGAATCCTGCACTTTAGAACCCGGAATAGCTCAAGAAAACCAGAATCCCACTAACGTTTGGCATCCAGAAACCACGTTCCACTAACAAAGACTGGAATCCGAAACAGAGAATCCGGAATCCATAGCGTTGAATCCAGAATTCAAGTCTGTTTAGACTGTCTTGAATTCCCTTTCATGGGCTGAGAATTTGCTTTGCTTGCGGATGCATTCTCATACATTATAGCAACTGGGTTATCTTTGAAGATCACATATTCAATTTGGGCACGGTCGAACACCCGGTCTAACTATGCTCTGTACGAGATAAAATAGGCGTTAATAAATAATGACTGCTTGTGGTTATATATACCTAATTGCTTTGGCAATTAGTTGGGCACTGGGCCTTTTGGCATATGAAACTCACTGCAATAATTTGCTTGAGTGCCTGCCAACCAAGCTTCCCTGTGGGCAAAACCCTACGCCCAAACAAAACTTTATTGGTATATTATATCTGGTAAACTCTCAGCTAGTAAGAAGTTAAAGTAAAAGTAATCGTCACATGATCTCTGAGATTTCCCTCGTTCAGGTCACTATTAAATTTTCTTACGGATTAGGTTCACTCGAAATTCTCTCTCTGCACAAGAGCAATTAAAAAATATCAAATATTACCGCTAGGAATAAAGTTATGGTACTAACTAATTCAAAATATCATAAGAGTACATATGTTTGTATCCAATTTTGGCGCATTTGGCTGAACGTTTTTGTGAGAATTTTTATCGGGTTTAAGACGATAAAAATGGTGTCAGACGTCATTAAAAAATGTTTGGTACGTTTGCAACTGCGACCTACTGTTAGGACTCACTGCTACATCAGCGCAAAGGTTAAGGTAAACATATAAGATAACCAATAATACTCACTATTGTTTGAATAAAAACCAGAAAAAGGTCACATTCCTATTTATCTCTGTATTTTGACTACTGCCGAACCTCAAACAAATATGGAGAAACTTATTGTTTAGGACGAGCATGGGGGCGGGATGTGTTTTTATGAGCTCCGACTTGGTTCCGACGTAGTGAGCGTGTTCCTCCTTTTCTGTACTTCTATATTTTGTATCAGGTTCCATGAAAAATGCTTTGTGAAAATCTCAGGTCCTTGGAATATTATTTTTCTTTAAGAGTGAAGTTCATTCTTAATCAAAAATTGATCTAACAGTTTCACCTATAAAACGGTCCCAGGGGCCCCACTCACATATTTTAATGACGGGGGGGGGGGGGTCCGACAGTGGTTCATATTTTATACCCAAAAAAATCCCAACTTCAGAATTTGTCTACCCAAAAAATTTCCTACTTTTTTTAGCATACCCAAAAAAATCCCTCAGTTTTTTTGCATCAGCAAATTTTATTATTTATCTTCTGAAATAACTGAGTCAGCGACACATCTTTGTATGGGTTCATAAACCACTTTGGCTAGATGCGCGTGGAGTGCCGGTAATTACTTTTCAAATAGATTACAATCTCAGAAATATCCCGTAATACCAAACAAGCAGTAAATTGCGCTTATGTTATTGTTGATTTGAGCTGATGAAAAATACAATACCCAAAAAAATCCCGGCGTCTTTCATAGACCCAAACATATCCCTTTTGGCCAAAATGTCAGACCCCAAAAAATCCTTCGGACCCCCCCGTCATTAAAATATGTGAGTGGGGCCCCTGGGAAAGCGGTAAACCTTAAGACCAAGATGGGAGCTTTATTCTCTCTTGCTAAGACTGAAATAATTTTGGCATCAAAGTAAGAGCATCAAAGAGCTAACGATGAATAACTTTGCATGGGGGTGTGGTGGGGGATTCGGTGATGTAATTTGGGCGAGACTTCTTTTCCAAGCTTACTACTGTGATAGAACTTCATTTATAATATTTTTTTGCTTTTTACTTCAGAATGAAAGAGCTTTCTTTTCGTTTTAATTCAGGAAAATTCGCGGGATAACCAACCACTCCTTCAACAGGCTCCTAGGTTTAGCCCGCAAACCAGGCGTATTTACTAAATAGCAGTGCGAACAATGATACTATTTTTTTTTCACGCCATGTTGGACGTTGAAACTGACTGAAAGTTGACTATATTTCAATTTCTTTCAAGATGGCGGTTGCGATCCATGTACCTCTGAGCTTTCGTTAAAAAAGGATTAAAAATAAGTATAGACTTATTGATTTCTTTGTGGGGGCTTTAAGTTTATTAATCAATAAACTTTATTGCTTTTAATGTAAGCTTATAACTAAAAGTACATAAATGGAAGCTTTGCTTTTAGGCCTGACAAAGTCTATACATTGTTCATTCGACTCATTCGTGTTTGTCATGTTTTGTAGAGGATTTCCCTGGCCACTGACCATTCATACATCAGTCATTTTTTTCCTGCTGTGTTATGGAACCTTGTTTTAGGCCCAGGCTGGGCTCCTAATGAAGTGCAGTCCGAGCCTACTATGGAATATTTATATTAAGAGGAGAAACAACAGGTGAATTGACAGTTAAGATCAAGATCGACCATGAACAGAACCAAAAGCAAACATTTGTTTGATATTACAGCACGTCATGTTTTAGCAGCAATTTGTAGTGACAAAATTAAATCAATAAAAGCTTCTGGGGGTTTCTCTGTCATGAAGTAATTACTTTTATCAGTCGCTTCCATCAAAAGCTACAAACTTTCAGGAAATGTTCATTAAAATATCGGCCTAGTAAAATTGCCAATTTTCAAAGCTTGTTTCAAGCATTAACGCATGGTCTAGTTTCCATGCTATCACTAATAAAGCACCAAACTTGAACCAAAACTACACCCGAAACAAATTTACGAAAGTTTGTCGGTGATTTTTTGTACAATGAATAAGTTGTTGAATGACAAAAGAAAACATTCTTCACTGGAAGTTAAAATATTACGCTAATGCATGTTTTAAAAATGATCGACATCTATATAATTTTCTCATTACGTAAACGAATCTATTGACTTTAAGGTTATTATTCTAATATATTTCACACTGATTAATAAACAGTTCTGGAAGTCTTCGACCTTATTTTAGGGAAAATATTACTTTAAATGGCTATAGTTCAAAGTAATTTGTTTCTTCTTGTATCACTCTTCGTACCGGTTCTGAAGTGCAATGGTGAGTAGAAAATTTGTAAACGTAACCAGCGTCCGACCAAGAGTATTAAATTGATTGAAAGCAGAACTTTCAAAAAAGGTAATGCAAATACATTAGGCTGTAGTAAATTTTGATCAAACCCTAGTTGTTGCTTCTCACTTTTGGACTGAAAATTAGTCAGTTTTAAAGCTTACTTTCAGTGTGAACTGTTAGTTTAATCGGATAAAGATGAGGATCGAGCGCGTTCGAGTTAACTGAAATCCAAGCCGTAAAGTTTATTAAAATGCTTAGAATACAATGCGATAAGGATTTCGTCTAAAACATGCTGCCTCTGTAGAGACCTGCTACGTGATTGAATGTTCGTCGACAAAGCTTTGACAAGCATTCTATTGTTAGCTTTAGCATCATAACGTACTAGATATTCCATACAATAATGGACCCTAACAATAAGAATAGAACTACTGTATTTCTACATTTTCTGGATAATTTTTTGGAGTTTTTTTACTTAAGATGATGAGAGTTTTCTCAAACCAAGAGCAGATAAGTAGTAATTACTAATCGGCTCCTGCTTAAACTAAAGAAGATTGAAATCATTATTAATTTTTTACAACCGATACACCCCTTCAAGAGAGGATAAAGCTCTGTTAACCCCTTTTAAAACTCAGATCATGATTTATTGATTGATTTAAATTATTAGAATTTATGGCCGATATTTGTTGTTTAGCTTTGTCATTGTAGTCAATAATAATAAAAGTCATCATCATCATCATCATAGTTGAAATTATTGACGAAATTTAGTGCTGCGCTTGTGAAACGGTAAATACTGTGCGATGACTTCCAGATAAAGAAGGCTACGAACATTAGCAGAAAAATGTGGTGGATACAATTACATTGGCAGTCGATGATTCTTAACAGCGGTCAATAAAGGAGAGGCAGAGCAAGTAAAGAAGAAATGAGAAGAGATAAAAAAGTTCAGGTCAAGAGCTGTGATGCTATTGCTGATTACTGTGATGGAGTGGTTAATTCAAAATAACCTTAGACTGGCTAATGAATCTTGCCGGAATACCAAAAAATTACTTTTTGTGCATGGCGCTCTTTACCAAAGACAAAAATAAAGTAAGAAAAATAAATTATCTCTGGAGTAACTTAGCCTTGACAACTACCTTAGCCAAAGAGAGGAAACACTGCTAAAGGATTCATGGAGAAGTAAAAACCCGAGTGAAGTGAAAAAAACTTGGTGGCTCTAAGAGGAGAAAGCAGAAGGAAAGAATGAATGACTCGTCAGAGAAAGAGCTTCATGGGCAATACATATACGACAGGCATATTCAGTATAGGGAAAGCATCTAGATCATTGGGGGCCAACGTTATGTTGACGAAGTTTCGCCGAGGATTATATTTGCTTTGTTTACGTAGGCGTCAACAGGGGTGTACCACGATAAGCCGTGTTTTGTGAGAATAGTAAATTTCTAAGTCATTTCATTGTATTCATGTCCTAGGTCACCAGCCAATAAAGGATTTAAATTATGTAAAAACCTAAAGTATCGTTTTGGAAGTTACTAAACGATGAACCAAATGATGTTCAAATTAGCTAGGTTTTCACTAGCGGAACTTTTATTGACCTCATTTTTGTTATCAAAAATCACTGAAAATACTTAATGAGTACCCTGTATTCAGTGATGAGTCCTTATTTTTTGAGTAAGACTTTTTTGTCACTTACTGATTTCTTCATGGTGCCTTAGAGCATTAAGAAAACAGAACGGATCCTCTGTTGTAGAGGCGGCAAACAGCTCACTTTCTTTATTTTTTTGTTCTCTTCACACAGAGTATTGTTTTTCCGAGCAAAAGTACGAGTTACTATGGCCGAAAACTGCTCTGGGAGAAAATGTCACGCGAGATTGCTCTTCAATAAATTCCACCTGGACAGGTATGCAGGATGCAACTAGATTCAGAGACCTCACTTTTTCACTAAGAAAAGCAGGCGGAGACTGGAATAGAAAGTTCAGCGAGAGGAAATGGGTCATGGAAAGGAGAAGAGAAGAAGTCTGTAACCGGCTTTTCGTATTTCCACTATCCTCTTGGGCCCTCAGACTCTTGACGATTTTATTCAGCTTACTGGCCCTTTTTAACGTGGCTATCCGACTGACATCATTGACTCGCTTGTGCTTTACGTGAGCTCCCTGGCCATATTCTTACATAGAAACGTTGTGGGCATATTTTTTTAGAGAAGAGATTAATCATTATTCTGATTAGAATAGTAAATTTATCGATTTAATTTTAATATTTTTACTTTTCAAAGGAAACTTCATTGCCAAATGTAGGAAAAACAAACAAGAACTGAACGCCAAGTGGCATTTCAGAGGCCGGGACTGCGGTTGTGAAGTGCAGAGTGTTCTTCAATACTATCAAACCAAGGTTTGTCTGAATGTACATTTTAACGTGCGTATAATATGCTTTTATGATATATAGCTAGCCGCTATTATTCGTTGAAGGCCCAATAGCGTGGGCCTATACTATCGATGAATATAAACAAATTTTTTTATTGGGGTATAGGGTGACTGAAGATAAATCTAGCCCAAGTGTGAACATGCTTTTGGTTAATTTGTTATCATAGACACACTTTTCCCAGCTTTTCCTTCCTCCTATACTCCCAAAGAAGGCCTTCTCGCAGGTTAAGATCGAAAAAAACGAAAAAGCGGGAGCAGGCGGATGGCGTCCATCTCCACGTTCTCCACGTTTCCCTCGAGAGTCTGTTCACAGGCCAGTCGATTAACGTCTACGAAAACCTGATTAAGCAGAGCTTTTTTTCGATACTGTTACCTTGGTTCTAATTTTTATGTTTTTATGTCAGTGTACCAAGTACTTTACTGTATCAGTTCAAATTAAGCCACAAAGCAGTGTTAGAAATAAAAAAAATAAATAAGTAAACTAATCAATCTGTATTTGCGGTTGATGGGCAGGTGTTTTCATATTTAAATAAGGAAAGGATTCATAGAACTCTCTTTATGAGGGTGTTAAAGTAGGAAGAAAGTAGATCTTAAATAAAAAAATATATAAAAAACAAAAACAAATTAACAGATACTGAAAGACTCTTGTTCTTGGGCCATCGTAGCTTAATCAAAAATAAAACGCAAACAGCGGTGATAATAAGTTACTTAAAAATGCGAAATTTCACAATGTTTAACACCGCTGTTAGTGTTTTATTTTTTAGTAAAATATCAGATATTATTATACATTGTATTCACTATCTGTCTTCTTATTGGCTAAGAGCCTACTGTTAATTTTGAAAATCAGCGCAACCTACAGATTAGTTACTTATCTGCTAGCAGATACTTGACACTTACATTTACCTCCCTAGACCTTGATTTATCCAGATACTGACAAAAACCTCATCCAATAACATACATCAGCTTTGTGCATAGACCCCCAGGAATTTTGGATATATATATTTTTTTTACGTCCAAAGGTATCCAAGGTGAACCAGACTGACTTTGTACAGACAGCTGCTGAGCTGAGAGGGGCGTTCAAACAATTCATTAACGAGGAAATATACCTGAATCTCATGACGAGGCTAAAGGATTCCATGTGCAGCAGACAACCAAAGCAGAAAAGCACCTTATGGGATAAAATACAGCAGTATTGTCAGGTATTATTAAAGTTACTCCTTATCTTCCCAATTCTACAGAGAGGGAAAATATCAGAAAGCAAGTGCACCAAAAGCTACATTTTTGCTCAGTGAAAGCTTCATCTCATAACCTTAACAAAGAGCCTTAAGCAGCGTTTGTGTCAACGTAGTTCCATGGTTCTCTCTCTTGCTTCGAGAAAGAACCCTGGTTGCGGCTGGTCACGCGGCTCCCAAAATCTGAGAGGCCAAAAATAAGGGAGGGGAAGAAGAGTAACTAATTGTCGCTATGACAAAAGTTACTCTGTCGGTGCCCGAGAGGAGTTTGTCGCCTCGTTTATTATCAGCTGATGGTACGGGTATTTGAAAAGGTCAACAACACCCGAAGAAATAGTATTGCGTAACAGAAGAGAGAGAACGCTGAGAAAGAAGTTGGCTATAGGCGAATCTTTCTTTACACTTTTTGCCTCATTAACATATGCTTATCAATATCTGATGACGCTAATAAAATAGCAACTCTGAATATTAAAAGGGCATAACAGTTTCAGTTATCTCTGAAAGTTTGAGCCCAATACACCGAATGGTTTCGGAGAAATTCTTTTCTAAAAAGTCGACATTTTACAGAGAATGTATGGCTCATTAACTTTTTTGCCACACAACAATTTCGCAGTTTTTGATGGCTGATATTTCCTTCAATATTGCTTGCAAAGAGCTGAAAATTGCACAAATTGCACAACTTTTGAACTTAGTTCATATACGTACGGTCACGGCTTCCATGAGTTAAGTTGTATGCTGATGAGGAAAAATGTAAACAATGACGTCAGCAAAGATTCGCCTATTCACTTGGTACATCGCGCACCAACCGATAAATTAAGAAAAGCAGAAAATAACGTAATAATCTTTTTAAAGATTATTAAACCTGACATTTGCATTATCTTTTCCTTTTCACGAACTGCACCTGCGGAGTATGCAAATTTACGAAAAGCTGATTTTGCACGTGCAAATCGAGCAAGAGTTTTAGTATCCTGTTGGCAGGATGGCGAGCAAATCTTTTTCCAAGTACAAACTCTCTAAACAAGTAACCTAATTTGCCTTCAAAATAATGTTATCGTAACTAGCCGAAAGCCACGTAGTTTACACACAACTTAGAAACTCAAGTGCCATTTTGAAGGAACGATTTTCTCCCTACCCCAGATGGTATTCCATCGTCCAGTAGACAATTCCAGTCGACAAAATTTATTTGAGGACCTACTCGTGCTTCGCAATTTATTGACACACATTTCCACGTGACCAGCTGTAACCAGGGTTCCTTCTCGAAGCAAGAGAAAGAACCCTGGGAACGAGGTTGATAGTGTCAGTTAGGAAGAAACAGACAGCTGATGACCAGGGGCTCTGAAAATCCTCAAAATTATTTCAGGGGGTTAGTTCATTCTTCCAAGTACGCCCGAAAATATCAACCGAAATGTAAAGGGTAAAATCATGTTTTCGAACGAAAGCTTTATAATTCATGTTGATCAGGGTTAAATTTCAAGCATAATATTTTTGTAAATTAGTATGTTTTCTTGACACTTCCTGCCTGGCCATCTTGAGTTTTTCTTTTGATAACCTTAAAATTCATCAGCTAAATCTGAGGGGACAGCCTCACTAAAATAACATAATGCACAAGAAAAAACACTTGTTGGTTTCGTTTTAGCTTTGGGGTCGTACAGACTTAGTTGAGAGAAAAAACAGAGAAGTACACTTTAAGAACAAATTTTGCCAGGAAGTTGGGTAAGTTTTAAGCAATTTTATTTCAGTTAAATTTGTACTGACAATTTCTACGATATCTTGATTTCATCTATGAATTTTGAAAAAACGTTGATCAAAAATTACTCAAAATAAATATCTAGCCAGATATTTCAAAAAGTACCCAGCAACATTTAAAGTCAATTGAGTGAGAAAAAGGACAAAAGGCATGGTTTAATTGCGTCCGAGAAACCCGCACCAGCAAAAGAAAGGGCAAGGAAAAAACAAAAGGGCGAGAATAAAAGAAAGGAGGAGAAGAAAAAAAAGCAATGGCTACACTGGAGATAGTCAGTGGAGAAAAAAAAACTGCGTGACGGGATTGGTCCACCTTAGGGGTAACGTTTTCAAAAATCCAGCTAGATATTTTAACTAATGAATGTCTAAATATATCAATTAATTCTTATTATTGTTCATTCAAAATATTTTCCCGATTCTGATTGGCTAAAAGTACGCGCATAATTCCCCATAACCAGTTTTGGATGACCAAATTTGGAAGAACGTTGTGTTTAACGAGGAAATGACGTCAAAAAGGCAGCGTTCTTGCAGGTTAATGCACCGTTAACCGATGAGCCCTGGGGACAAGGTTGAGTTGTTTTGGTTGTAAAAACAAAAGATGGCGCACATTTCACTCGTTTCAAGAGTAAGAACTAGGCGAAATTATTGCTAAAAACATGGCCAGAATAGAAAGAACGCAACTCGACGGGCGACATCTGCTATTTGGAGAATATTTGCGGAGCTAAACAACCCCTTTACGTGCACTATCGAAGGTGAACTTAACATCGATGGAGGTAAGCATGTTTTGGCTATGTTTTTAAACAAGGAATTATTTTGAATGAATAATAAAACAATTATTGAATTCGGCTTTCGTATCATATGAAGAATTATTGAGATCTCGGAGGGTGTTACCCGCCTCGGCCTACGCCCTCGACGAGGTGACCCTCCTCGATCTCCATAATTCTTCATATGATACTCAGCCTCATTCATTAATTGTTAAATAACAACAGACCATTTTAATGATAATTTAATAAAATATAATAAATACGTTGGTTTGCAATTTCACGCGCAATGTTCTATTAATAATTTGTATTGGTCTCAGTGTTATTTAGTTATTTATTCTTATTATATTAAAAGTACGTCCACAGGACTCGAAGCAGGTGTAGTTATATCATCAATTGGTGGAACTAAGCGTAAACCTAAGAGTGGCATAACAGTTGTAGATATAAATCATTCCGAGGGAAACTTAACACAGGTTAGTAGTCAAACTGTTTACAGCCAAATACTTTCCCTGGATGCCAGAGGGTTTTCTTTCTTTCCTCCTCTCTGATAGTTCTCGAAGCCGCATCTCGGCTGAGCTTTGTCAAACCGTAAGCAAGGTTTATTTCATCCTAGTTATTTAGAGAACGGACCTCTGGAGCCAGCCAGGGTAACAGCCAAATGTTTTCGACAAAAAAAAGTACTTGTCCTTTAAACAATCAATAAACACCATCGAACACTTCAACGACATTCGCTGAATTTACACAATCAAAGAACCTGCCCGGCTATTCTCAGTTAGATTTTGATTTTAACATAAGGCTTTTAAGTTAAAAAACGAGATTTTCGAGAAACAGACTGTAAGTCCTAAAGGCTACGAATTTGGCGAAAATATCGCGAGATGATACCTTTATGTGGCTCAAAGATAGACAAGCAATGATAACGTTTATGAAAAACTTTCCGGATTTAAGAGTCGGTCTGTTGTGGGATAAGGAAGTTACAAACAGCAAGGCCTAGTTAGCCTTCTAACACTATTTGCCGACCTTTGGCTTAGACTGGCTGCAGCTATTAAGAGGTATACTTCTATTTTCTGTCCATTTACTATAGTCATGGGCACGATGATCCGTTTTGGACTTCGTTAGTCTTAATCGATTTTTCATCGGTTACTCTCTAGACAATGACTGGTACATTAGCTTTTATAGAGCCCAGAGAGCTAGTTTGGACCACGGTCGGTTACCTTAATGAATGAACAACTTATGACATCTTATGATGGACTAAGCCAAGCGATCAGCTGGTACTCTACTCCTGTGAAGGTTCTGGAATGGCAAACTTCACTGGGTTTTAAGCCGCTGTCTAACGACAAAACATTCGTCATTCGCGACTGTGGTTTCCACGTTATGAACTATAGAACGACAGCAGCGATCTATTTGCTTCACCGGAATTGTACGGGTACTACGAATTGAGGCTTCTGATCAGCAAAAGGAAATGTGAAAATCCAGCCATTGCGCGGCAATTTTGACAGGTAGCCCTGAACAATCTATATTGAATTTAAATTTTCATTTGCATTTTTAGATCGTGAACAACGTTAATTCTAGTGACTGTTTGGTAACGTCCTATCACGAGGTATGTATACAGCTATTTCGAGAAAGGTTATCGGAAAAAGTACACGCGACAATCCCGAAAGGTATTGTGGGTGGTTTTGAGTGCACTGTTCTTCAAAGAAACTTGAAAGAATGGCACGGAAGGCAACGGACATATGTTTGCGAGCGTTGCAAAGAAAAGTGAGCAAGGAAAACGAAACCAGTTAAAGGGGTGTGGGTAGGAAAAGAGGGCGAAGGAGATCTTCCGTTCTCTCCTTTTTGTATCCTTTTCCTTTTTTCCGCTTGTTTCCCTCCGTTCTACATTTCGCGCCGCTCTTTAAAAACTCCTGGAATAGGCTAAATTCTGAATGATTCTTGCAGATATATTATGATGCCATTATGAATAGAAATAGCCCTTAAAACTTATAATCAGTAATTTTTGTTTACTTCCTTGGCTTGTTTTTTGAATTGATGAATATTTCATACCTAGTATTACGATTCTGTAATGACGCATATAAAACAAAACTCAACTGACTGATAAAATAACCGTGTTTTCAGAACTGTTTTTTATGCGATTCAATTTTTAAGAAACGATTAAATTGTTATTATTATCAAATGGATGGTGATCACTATAGGGCCACTCCCGGGTGACGGAAAAGGTCAGGGATCACTTAATAGTATAAAGGATCGTAGATCTGACTACACTTACTACTTTTGCAGAGAAACAGGACAATAACAGTCAGAAGAATCGATTCTGGAAAAAGAGAGAGACACGAGAAAAGAAGGAAACTTGTTGAATTGAGTTTAATATCTGTATCACTCGTGGCAATAGTTTTGTCGCTGATTTTCTTGTCATGCATCAGGTCTGAACGATACAATATTATATAAGTTTATTGCCAAAGATTCATCTGACAGTCTTTGTTCGTGTTGCATTGTAACAAATGACTGGAGATAAGCATCTTTTTTTTCTCTACAGACAACACTCAATACAGTCCAGCGAGAAGCTCTTTATCCATAAAAATTTTCTTCTTTCTTGGGGTATTGGATACGCCGTTTACATTGTGGATGTAGCTGCTTTTGAGAGAATTTATCGAAGGACTGTAAGTAACGCAGGGCACCTGGGCTCCTCAGTGAACAACAAACCACTTGTTAACGCGGCATAATACCATTCATATGGACACTTAGGGACAATAGGCAGTGTCCGTATTAAGTGAGTCGTGTTGAGGACATCAAATACACATCATTTTTTCGAAAATAACAAACGTGCAAAATAACCTAAGAATCAACAAACTAAACGTCTCTGACTTACAAAATAGTTGTTATTGCTTAGAGAATAACTTGAAATTAAAGCGGAAAATATTGAAGGAGAAACGCTCCATAAAAATGCATGGAATCCATCATCAAAGTGGTCTTTTTTTCTAGTGAATCTCATTCGTAGATTTTTGTAAACTAAATCACAACAATTTATTTTCTTACCTGAACCACCAATTCATGAATACAAGCAAATTAGCAACCCTTAGCGTGTCACTGCATCCACACGTTACTGTTGTAAAGTAAGGGGAATGAAAAATCAAACGAACTGGTGAAAATACAGTTAAGCCCTGCAACGAATGAGACATTCAGGTCTTTTTTTATTGCTTGTTTCAATCAACAGGCTCTGTGCTCAGTTGTTGCCGTGATCCGCCACTTCTTTCAAACAGCAGTCTTCACGTGGATGTTGGTTGAAGCAGTAAATCTTTTCATGAAACTGGTCAAAGTGATATCGACTAAGACATTCTACATGGCGTATCTTTCTATTGGATGGGGTAAGCTGCAACAATTTAGGACTCGTAATTAACAAAAGTAATTAAAAAATTAAGCACCTAGGCCAAAGAAAAGCAACATTAGGGCCATTTATACGAGGAAAAATAAGACGCGAACTTTCCGTATAAACGGCACATTTTGTCTAAAATAAGACGCGGCTTAGCTAAGACGCGTCTTATTAGATAAGACATGCTCTTATAAATGGTACAGTTCGCGTCTTATTTTTCCTCGTATAAATGGCCCAATGGTTCCAAATGTTCATACATGGCATGTATGACCCAAAGAAGGGCAAGGAAAAAATACTAAACGGCGATGGAATTTTAACTCGTGCTCTTCCGGGGCACTATCACAGACCGTTTTGATTATTCTGGGCAGATTGTCGATCGTGCTTGGATTACACTTACACTTACACTTTACACTTACACTTTTAAACATACAATAAATTTTATGAAGTGAACATGATCATTCAACTGCAAGGATCATGTTCACTTTCATTCATATCTTTATCCGCAGTTCAAAATATGACTTATTTCATATATTTCAATTTATAGTAACTAATAAAAAGGGGTTTATTACAAGAATTAAAAAATTCTCTGATCAATCTTTATTTCCATTTAACATTGACCTTATATCAGGCATTCCAGCTGCTATTGTCGCCATAACAGCGGCAGCAAGACCTCAGACGTATGACATGAATCAGATCATCTTCGAGGACTTCATGTGTGGATCACAGAAGTTTACCTCAACTGTCAATAGAACAAGGCAAGGCCGGTTATTTTTCCCTATTGACGATATTAATATAGGGTGATAAAACGTTTATTTCCGCTTGGATAAGCACTCTTGAAAGAAAAACATGTTAAACGCATACAAAAAATCCCTAAAGACACTGTCAGCAGTAGCTTTCATTATAGATTTAGTACATTTGCCATAGATTTACTAACTTATTCATTCCAAATATTTCTCCCTTTCTGATTGGCTAAAATCTCCTGGCTTCTGTTCGTCATACCCAGCTTTGGAAGACATGTTTTTCTTGATCGATGTAAAATTGCCGTTTTTATTTGTCTGTTCCTCGGCATGAAAATTTATGATGTAAAGGGATGTTTAGTCTGGCACATAGTAGTTTTCATCTGTCGAGTTGTATTTTTGCTATTCTTGCCATGTTTTTAGGCTGGGGGTTTGGCTATTTCTTCTTCACAAAGCGCGAAATTTTCCAAAATCAACTGAGCTGACACAATGTCGTCTACAGGGCTTCCCGGTTGCCGTCCCTTTTTCTGGTGATAGCCTGTACTATTGACGTCATTTTACCGGATATCGCAAACGTCTTCCAAATTTGGTCAGCGCTATGCGTTGGAATATGAAGAACTAGCAGGGGATCACTGAGCAAATCACAATGGATAAATGTTTTGAATGACTAATAATAATTGTTTTTATATCATTACTTTTTTAGCTGTTGGTTGAACGGAAGCAAGTGGCTTTACACAGGACCTGTTATGGGTATACTTCTGGTATGAACAGTTTCTTGCTTTTAAAATAGTTATGTGCGCGAGGTAAGAATGTTTTAAAGTATCTCTATTCTGGACGTTATCTACTCTGTTTTTAAACCCAGCAAAGATATCCTCTTTGTGTTTCTTGTCTTTTAAAGGTGAACACAGTTATCTTTGTTATGTTGCTCAAAGTCGTGTTTAGCAAACTAGACTCGAGACACCACAGAGATGCAATAACAAGAACAAGGTCAGTAGTCAATGACTTTGTTTGAGAACTGCTGTAATATTTTTAAAAGAGTGTAAACGGACCAGTACCTTTAACACTATGTCCACCATTGTTAATTAGTTTTACCAATTACTTTTTATGAAACTCTTAGTAATATCCGTACGGTCTATGAAACGTTAAACAAAAACCTACGTAGGATTTACCTTATAAATTCTAGTTGGTGAAAATGAGAAATTTTGTCTAATCACAGAAAAGGACTTAAGAGTGTAGCGGCTTTGCTTCCTTTATTGGGTGTCACGTGGATATTTGGGCTACTTGTTAACATTCATGAGGCACTGGACTATATCTTCATTCTCTTGACTTCAACTCAGGTTTGCTTTACTTCTTATCGTTCTTTACTTTACAGGTTTGATTTACTTCTTACATGCCTCGTGTAGAAAATTTTATAAAAGGAGAAAAGATGAGCAAGCTCTCCCGAACTGCCAATTTAGTCTAAAACAGGAGTTCATAGGCTCCTGTTCCACAAGGCCAATTTAGTACAAATTAAAAGGAGGTTAGTAAAATAGGAGAACTCGGTATTTTAATTCACCAGCTTCACTTATAAGGGTCCAAAACGGAATATAAAAGGACCGTGTTCAGCTTACTATTAAGTGAACTGCCCTTTCAAGTCAATAAGCCAGTTTATAGTCGATTACTGAATTTTTATACTGAGGTTCGGAAATCGCTTGTCTTTCAAGGATGGTGTAACTTTAAAACTTTCTTAGAGTATATAAAAACCACATGAAGCTTTGTATTATATTATTTCTATGGCACAGGGTATCGTGTTTTGCATCTTTCACTGCATTTTGGATGCCCAGGTGAGAAGCTCAATTCGAAAGATTATTATCTGATGGTCATAATAACTATGACTCATTCAAAATATTTCTATATGTTTATGATTTGCTTAAATCACCCAGTTAATTCTTTATAACCAGCTACCTTTGACAAAATTTTCGAAGATGCTTGCCGATATCAATACAATTGACGTCAATTGTACTGATATCGACAGAGAAAGGGACAGTAGATGGCGTGGTAAAGTAGTTCAGCCGTTTAGGGAAAGCTGGAGAATATTGCGGGGGATTTTACGCGTTACAAAAAGAGGTGACCAAACTACTCCCTAAACCCAACATAGCAGGAATATATAACGAAAATACCACTCAACGAATGACACCTGCAGCTATTGCCCTTTATGCCGGGAGAAACAAGGAACGTGCAAACGGGTAGGTAAACGGGAACATAATATAGATCGAGGCAGCCCTTACGCTTTGTTGAAGATGGATAATATTTTGTACAACTATTGGAAATATATTCTGCTTTCGTATGACATGATTGCACAGATCTAGGAGGG